GGGCTGCCTGAATGCACATGAGAATCCTATGGTACATTAAAACAGTGATTCTCAAAGTGGAGTCCGTGTCAGAGTGCTGCATCATGAAAAGGTACATATCTACAGATCTGGACCATTTACGCAGATAAAACAATCTTATTGTGTCCATTACTCCCACCCACTTTAGCTTTAGGCCAATAGAAACTCCAATCTAACAATTAGTATTTAAAATTGTGTCGACCTAAAGTGTAGAAAAATCTTTAAATGTCTTTCAAAGAAACTAAGTGTTCCCTAAAGAGGGCTGTGACATCGATTAAACTGCAGTTTAAAAATCTGAATGGATAATAGCTTTAAAGAGCAGAGCTTCTGCTATGTGGGCTTCAATATCATTTTAAGTCTCTGCTTTTATAGGACTGACTTATCATGTAGGTTTCAGGTGAACACACACATGTTAAGAATGAACAATCACCACATTGAAGACGTCTCACCGTGTTCTGGCCGGTGCGCCTGCCTCTGAGGACTCAGCTGCTGTGACTGCATGTTGGTGTTTAGTCCGCTCCAGGTGCTCCATGTAGCTGTGGATCATCTGGAAGGTACGCAGCACACAGAGAGTCGGGGGAATTAGCTGATATTGATGACGGTTACATTTTTGTACAATCATTTTGCAATCTGGATGGTACACACTGGTGTTAATCCACCACTGAATTATATGTATTTGACTCTCCAAAGAGCCGATACTTCTAAAAAGGGATTCAGGAAACAAAACTAAATGTTGCTACCAAACTACGCTATATTTGATTGTAACTCCTGCCATCTTTAACAGTCACTCACATGAAGTAGACTGTGTCCAGACACAGCTGTGACAGTTAGACTGTGTAGCAACAGTGTGTAGGTGACAGCTTCTCTATTCAACATTATTCAGATCAGCAGTTTGCTGCTGAGGCCTGAGAGCATCTGTTAGTGATGCATACTGTATAACAGACCACAGCGGACCAACGGCTTAGCAGACACATACTTCATGTTTGGATACTTCATGTTTTAATCATCTTCAACTAGCCCCACTCCATTCCACACCAGACATTCAAATGTGTTCTCTCTTCAACCTTTTATTCGTCATGTTTCCATTCAATTGTCAAGCGAATTTTAAGCAAACTTTTGAAATGCCGTGAAAAAAATAAATGCCTATTAGGTGCATTTCCATCAACTGGTTTGGAGCGCGTAAACAAGGCTGCATACTTTGGCCAGAGGTTAGCAGTGTAGGCTACGCTTCACGCATGGCTGTAATCTGCCAGAAACAGAGTAGAAGACAAAGTTCTGGTTGCGAACTGGAAAAAATGAAACAGGGATCTGTTTAAATCAAGAAAGTTTTGATTGTTCTTTCATGTCAGTTGGTATTGGAGATGTTTCATGCCGTCCGGGGACAAGGCCGATATAGATATATATCAAGAAGACACAGACAGCTGATCAGTCATGTGAGTTTAATGTTGGCTACATCAGAACTTATTCTGCAAAGGAGTTTCCCATAATCCATTTAGCGCATCAACTCCTTTTTGGCAAAGACAAAAAATTAAGCAAGCGTAAAGATTAAGGAGGTTTAATCAGATGTTGCAGTCTCCATACAGGTTTTCAAATCAATACTTCAAAAAATCTAAAATGCGCATAAACATATGTGAATGGGAACACGGCTACCGTCACTCCATTTTGTTCACTTATTACTGCATTTCATCTGGACTTCAAAAAAAGAGCAGTGAACCACCTTGTTGACTAAACAGACGGGCATACCTCAGTGTGTCTCTGGTGAAGGGTGTTATACTCCTTCTTGAGCTCCACTTCTCTCTCGTCCAACCTGCCAACTGGAGGACAAAAGAGAGACATTTATTTAAAGCACACATGATAAAAGAAGGCACAGGATCGCAGCGAGATTCACTGACAAAACGGCAATTGTTCTTATAGGAACTGACTAATATAAATACAGAAATGATTTGACAAATCATGGTCCAAACTGTTCAAACTGATTTTGTATGATTTAACTCTGTGGTTCTGGATGTGGTGGTAGAGCAGCAGCTGCAGTAACATGTCAGAGCCAGAGGAGGGCCACCGTGCCTCAACAAACCCCTCTGAAGCCACACCAAGCAGAGAGCCTCTCTGAATCATAGGCTCAGCTATGGAATCAAACTCATTAAAACAATCATCTTCAATCCAGTTTAAAATGTCAATCAAACACTCAACATCATCAACAGCTGAACAGCAATAATGATACAAACATTTAAAATCTATGCTAAATGACAGATCAGCTTCCTGGGTCTCTGATTACAGCGGTCTAAAAGGTTTCATTTGAATGTACTACGTATGTGGTTTGTAATGATAAAAGCAACCTCGGGGTGAAGAATGGAGGCGAATGTGGAGTTACCATCTACTCAAAAGGAAAAAAACAACAGGTCATAAACAATCCACCTGTCTCTACAGAGCCACCATCAGCCTCAGTTGTAGTCCATTGTCCATCTCAGATCCCAGCCAAACTAAATGTTGTCTAACAAAAGGTCGACTTAATCCGTAAAAGTGAGAGTTACAACTCATTCTCAGGACCCTTCATACTTCATGCTTTGCAGCTCAGTTTTTAAGTCAGAAATAACCTTTTCTTTCTCTCTCTCGGGTGTTTAACGAGAACCAAGTACAGGATTTAGAGAAAAACACCTGAGCAATGAAGAGTTATAGTACAAACAGCAGCTGCAGAGAGTGACGTAAACTGTGATTCAGTGTGCTTATGAGAGGGCTGATAGAGGAACTAGTGGTTAAAGAGTGGAGCAGAAATAACCCAGGTCGCATACGGAGGTGTGTGGAGTAACAGGAAGTGGTCCTACAGGAAAGCCCCACACCAAAAGCCTGAATATGTATTAATTCATATATTTTCTGAGTTATTGATTGCTGTCGGGAAGTAATGAGAATTTCAACAAAAAATGTTTTTGAGGAATATTACCAACCCTAGCATTAATATGCTCATTTTCTATCTACTCCTCAATTAATTGTTAGGTCTGTAAAATGTCAGAAAATAGTGAAGAAATGACAATAATAACGTTCCAGAGCCTCAACAAATGTCTTGTTTTGGCCGACCAAATGTCCAAAAGACATTTAGGTTACTGTGACATATGACAAGCAGCTAATCCTCCTATTCTCCCGTATGTAATGAAATAGGAAAATGAAGATGACGGTGTGTTCAAATATGTCCCTGTGTGCGACTCAAAGACAGAAAAGAGGAAGTGTTGCATCGAAAGAAATAAAAAGACATTCGCTGAGAGCTCTCAATTTTCCCTTAGCGTGTAGGAGGCGTGCGTTACGGTACCGTGCTGGAAAAACAAGCAGTCACACACCGTCAACAGTGCAGTCATGCACACATCATGAGGTTGTTTCGTTTTTTTTTTTTTTTTTAAATGGTAAGACTAGCACGCTCTGGAGACTTCAGGAAGACTAAAGTCCGTCTTGGACAATTAAAAGTCTTTCCTAGCTCAGAGAAAGACAGAATGATCGCTCACTTTTTATAGTAATGTCTTAGACATTTAGCCGTTCCTTTGATTTAGAGACAGAATGCTACTAAAAAAGAAAAAATGTAGAAGGAAGTAAGAACTTTAGCTCCTTAAAATCCTCTTGTACTCCACACTAAACCTTTATGGGTTTGGAATATGATTGGTTTATTCTATTACAGCATATTTAGTAGACACGGCTGGCACTTATGGACTCTATTCAGTGGAGACATGGGAGTCACTCAGCCCTCCAGCACATCAGGCTAACAGTCACAAGACCTGCAAACTGTCCATGCTGCTCACAGGGTATCGTGTGTGTGTGTGTGTGTGTGTTGGACTTTCCAGTATAATAGTGGTAAAGTATAGTAGAAACCAGCGTCTGTGGACTTACTCTGATCTGCATAGTTTTTAGTTTTCAGCTCGAGCTGACGCGTGTGCGACTCCAACACCACCAGTCGACACTGGAGATCCTTTTTCTCGCCGTCCTGGGAGTCCTCCAAGGTGATGTACCTCTGCAGAAAGAGACAGGAAACGGAGGGAAGGAGAACACAGCATTTATTAAACCGAAGCGCCAGAATTCACACGAGGGCTGTTGAACTTGTGAAACTCCCAGTGAGGGACCGATGAGATGATTTTGTGTATAGCAGCAGCAGGAGACAGACATGTCAGCTCCTCTTAGCCAGTCTGACATCTGCTTCAGCTCCGAGTGTCCACAGTCGTCACCATCGATGACATCGAGCCCTTCCAGTGTGCGTGAAGTCGAGTTGGGGGTTGAAATGGAGATGTTATTGACTAAATTCGAAAATAGAGCATCTGTCCATTGTGAAAGTCATTTAAGCTCTCTGCACAACAGATGCACATCGCCAGCCTTCTCACCAAAACAGAAAAGGCCAACAGCTTGCTTGTGTGTGTGTGTGTGTGTGTGTGTGCAGACACAGTTTCATGGGCAAGTTAATAACAGTTGATATTAGCATCAAGGTTGTTTTTCCGATCTTCACAGCAGCTGTTTTTCTGAACCTCAGCCCTTCTCTCGGGGGATGTGGGACTCAGACCACTATGAGCGTCTATCAGGAGGAACTAGATGAACCATCTCACAGCACATTGGGTCCAAACTCACCGTTAAATCCAAATTGAATCCATATAATGACGGGTCAATCATTGCTCCCTGAAGCCAGTTTACACTTTGTTTGTGGACAGATTAGATCAGGTGAAACTTTATAGAGATCTGATAGAGAGCGGGTCTTTGAAGGGACAAATATCTAAAGAAAGTGAAGAAAAACTAGAACAAAAGTAAATGCAGACATTAACCTGACAGCAACACATCACTGGCACTGTGCTATATTACACAATCCTTTTGTGCAGGTGATGAAGATGAAGGTGAGGTGACCGGAGAAGTTGTGTGACAGTCGCCATGGTGACTCCTCTGCTCCAGTGAGCTCTGATACTCATCAGCTGTTTACAGTCTGTCCGTGTTCAGTATGCTGAATCTGTCACTTTGGAATATGAACCATGACTGAAGAAATAAAGTCGTGTTCACCGCAGCAATTTAACTCACAATCGTCCTTGGTGGATATCTGCACAGTACTGGAAGATTTTTAAAAACGAATAACGCTCTGTTCTGTGTTTCTTTAACGCTACTGTATTTTACGGATGATGATCATTCCATCAGCTGACCACAAGTGTCGGTACTTCAGTCTCTCCTCTGCGCTCCGGGGTGCGGACAGCGCTGATGAAATATCAAGCGAAGTTTGATTTGAGGTTTGAGTTGGTTTACATCTTTAACAGTTGAAATGACGCTTCTAACGTTTCATTTCTACATGGGTCATAGATTCCGTGCGGGTGCGCACATTCTCCCGTTTCTGCGTACGCCTCTTTCAGGGCTCCTTTTGTGCGTACGCAACGGTTATTAATGGGACCCCAGGTCTGTAGATCATGTTGAGTCATCCAGTCAGTAGGAGGCACATTTTGATTTAGGGGCGAACTGTCCCTTTAACATTCAAACTGTTCAGACGAGTAAATGTGAATGGCCAAGGAATACTGAATTCTAAAAATAAGAATTAAACGTGTTTCTGTTGCTCTCTTGTTTGGTTGGTACTCTTATTGGGAGCTCATCTATTGATGCCTCAGCTGATGGCGGAGTCAGGTGTCTGATGGCAGGCCTGTAAACATGCAGTCTTGTGATGCGGGCCCTGGGCAGGGGATGGATATCATCTGCAAGGAGATGAGGATCACCTGAGCTCCCCGATACAAAAAGCCTCTTCATACGCACGTCCCATTAGGACTGGAGGTGTCTACCAAAGGCGGTTCTTCAAACTGCTTATGTGAACTCTAAGACACCACGTTGCTTTCGATTCTTTTTTAACACAATTCAGTCGTTGATGGGCCAAGATGTTTTTCTCCGCCTTTGGGCTTTTATATGAATAGATTGTGCCTCATTGTGAATTTTAGTTAGTTAGGGGGTGAGGAGATTATTTGGGTCTTGAGGGAGAAAGATTTACGGGGGCCCAGTGGGGCCTGGGAGCATCTCGAGTGCTGAGGTATTGGTAATAATGCAGCATTTCCCATGTAAATCTACTAAGAGCATTAGCATAGACTACAGACAGGAGGGGGTGCCCCCTAATCTGCTACTAGACAGAACTACAACTCAAACAGTTACTGAACTTAGTTTGATCCTTAGAAGGATTTGATGAAAGAAGCAGGAATCTCCTCAGATTTACATCAATTAACACCATTAAAGAGTAGCACACTGCATGGGTGGCGCATGCTGACATGTAACGAAACCCGATTGTATCAACACATTCTTTGAGAACAACTCCCAACATCTTCCTCGTTCCTGCTGCTCATCATATGACAACGCTCCAGAGAATGAGTGTTCCAGCGTTTTAACATGCACTCTTCCCCCTACACTGCATGTATAATGCTCCCTTTGTCCCCGAGTGCCTGCCTGCCTGCCAGCCCCACACACACACACACACACACACACACACACACACACACACACACCTCAAGCACAAGTGCGTGCGCACCCACTCAGACAGGGCTCCACTGTATTGGCACTCAATTGACAGAGTCAAATCAACTCCTTCATGCGTTTTTGGCTGTGGGTTGATAACAGAGCATCTCGGACAACACGGGTCAGTGAGGCCTTAGGCCCGCCCACCCCAAAAATATATATTGATGATGTTTAGCAGGTATAATGTTTACCATGTTAGCATGCTAACATTGGCATATTAGCACTAAAGTACAGCTGACGAGAGGACAGAAGTCAGGGGGATCACCAACATCAGTAAGATTCATCAACTGGGGAACATGAATGTCTGTACCAAACTACATGGCTATCCAGGAGTACCTGAGATATTTGATTCTGGATCAAAGTGATGTGGCAACAGACTTCACACCGCTCAAAACCTCATGTTTCTGTTTCTAATCTTTCACCCACAATTTTACTGATGTCATATGAGGCTATGCTACAGTGTGCAACTCATGTGTACTACTAATGTCATGTTAATGGTCCATCATGATCAATCAGCTGGCATTATATGCTAGTAGGCTGTGGTTGTTTGCAGGTCGGCAGACAACCCTGAGAGGGCAAAAGAACTGAGGGAAGTGCGGTTTCTCCCCAAGAATTTCCTGCCTTGCCTTTTCCTCTCCTCCGCTGAGACAAACTACTACGAGGAGGTATTCCTCCGGGCTCGCAGCAGAGAAAAGCAGGATTTGGCTCGTACAATGAGTTTGTTTGGTAAGATTAATGTGCCTCTTTGCTTCAAGAGTGGTTTGTCACCCAAATGGGCTTAGCTTAGTAACAGTCTGTAAGTAGCTGCTTTGGTGTTGTTTGGAGGACGCTTTGCATTCAAACAGTCTTGAGTGTGTGCTGGATTAAGTGACAGTTTAGCCGTGTGAAATGCAACTGGTATCAACACAGCTGTCTGAGTGGCTGAGGGATTATGAAATGAGGGAGATGTGGAAAGGCGGGGCAAGGTTGTGTGTATGTCTCTACATGTCGGTGCGCACACAGACTTGCATTGACCTTCACCTGTTTAAGTTCATACTGGCAATATTAATTATACCTTGCCATTTAGCTATCTAGGACTGACAAAACAGTGATACAACCGTTTATCACATTCTGTCAAATAACATTTTTTGTTATTTTCAGTAAACGCCAAATATCTGGTAGTTCGTTCCTGACAAATCCTCTAACGTGCAATGTCAACTTTTCATAGACTAGAATATAAGAAGTGGACGTAGTCACTGCGACGTTAATTATTGGTTTGTGGACTACGTTTTCGTTTCATTTTTTGCAACCAGAAGTGACACGAGAGGGTGGAGCTAAGTACAACCGGACGCTGGATAAGACATTTTTAGGCAAACAAATATGATACAATAATATTTTAATGAACTGAAAACACTCAGTGAAAGGGTTAAAGTTCTAAGACGAAAACACAGACAACTCCCAGACCTGACAACACCGTGGTAGAGACCTGTCAATCACAAGGTAGCCCCGCCCTAAAGCATACCCTGCTTTATGGTCTGTTTGACTCTAAATGGACCATCATTTACTAAATGAACACCATGCTGTATTGAAGAAGACTTCAAACTAGAGATTGAGACCATAAACTCATGTTTACAATGTTTACTGAGGTAATAAATCAAGAGAGAAGTAGAGTCATTTTCTCATAGACTTCTATACAACCAGAGTTGCCCCCTGCTGGACATTAGAGAGAATGCAGGTTCAAGGCACTTCAGCATTGGCTTCACTTTTCAAAGCAGAGGTTGCCGCCTGCAAGTTTCTGACCAGGGTTTAAGTGACTTTCATGCAGATGAACAGAAGAACCAGGTAGTATGCACAAGCAAAAGCACCGCTCTATAGATATGTTTCCATGCAATTGTCAATTCTCATTTGCTTCAATAAAGATAATTTTAAAAGTTTGACTTCCATGAATGAAAGCATTATCAAAATAACTAACATTCCCCTCATCCTTGGCATCAAATGCTTGCTCAGATTTTAAAGCTTGTTTACTTATTCATTGATCCGATATTTTCATCTTCATTATGACCTCTGTAGCCATAAAGGCCACATCCTGAGTTGTGATTGTTCAAGTTCCTAAACTGGAACAGAAGCTGACCTCTGACCTCTAGAGGATGTAGAGTCAGAGGGTGAGACCTAGGACCTCGTCCTGGCATGAGAATATTACTGATCACGCCAACAGGTTGGCTCGCTGGGTGAGGAACTAGTTCTTCAAGGCGTCTGGTATTTGACGCACAGTAGCGAGAGGGAACAAGACTGTATGTAAGCCCATAACATAGCAATGGAAAATCCCATGTGCACGAGTCTATCCAAAGCCTCAGCAACGTGTTACGACAAGACATAAATTATTAACACACCGCTTTGTGACCTGTTGGGCTCGTTACTCAACGTTGAACTGTCAAAAGTCAAATGTCAAAAACACGGAGAATACGGAGAGGCAAAACTCATATAAATGAATTAACAAATTAATTTGGGGTTTTTTTTTCTTCACAATAATAATAATTCACTAAAATATTTCCATAAGTTTTCCAGTCTAAATCATGTTGGCAACAGTTAATTCTGCTGGGATTAAAGGCGCAGGTGGTTGGTAAAATAATTGAGCAGATTATGTGGAAAACCCTGCAGTAGTTCAGGGTTATTAAAAATGCTTATATGAGGGGCTGCTTGTGTGCATAATGCCAAAACATGAGGAAGAGTGTGGGTGAGGATTAAGAGGAGAAATACGGTGAGTTTGAGCTTTAAAAGTGACAAAAACACACCTAAAATATTGAAAAATAGCCTTGAGGCAATATATCTACAATCCGTTCTGATTTAAAGGATAACAGGGCAATTATAAGTTATAGATTTTTATGTAGATATATTTTAGAATCTTGGATCTGAACTTCTGTTTAGTATGTTTTCAAGGTGCAGCTCACGTTTCGGTTTATATCATCTGGAGACCATGAGATTAGATCTGTGTTAAGCGTGTACTTCTTGAACTTGGAGTCGTGCTCACAGCATTGATCTTAAGCTGGAAAGAACAAACCATGCATTCAGCACTAGCACGACACAATACATTCAACATTCAAACAGCAGCTTTCTTGGTCACAGATTTGAACCTCGACTACAGCTGAAACCACAGGATGTTTTAGAGCCGCGTGTGTGAGACTAAGCGGAGAGAAGTGACTGCAGCAGCAAAGTACCAAAGCATACCACATTAAATGTTAAAAGGGAAGATCCACGTCATAAAGCAATTCATATTCAGCTTCATTTACAGTTATGTGTGATGGCAAAGTACAGGAACTACAGAGTCCATCATTGCCGGATGAAGGCAAAGGACTGGACTATGGTTACTACGTAACCATACGTAAACGTTTTGTAAAGATGAACATGTAGAATAGCCAGTAAAGGGTAAATGAATCTGCTTTCGAGGAGTCATTGTGGATGTCTTGGCTGTAATTCTTAAAAAGACTGTCGCCACTTCTAGTTTGGTTTGGTGTGCCTGGCTGAAATGGCAACAAAGGCTCTGTCACTTTATTTCAGACAGGTAACGGGAAAAGGTAATGACAGCGGGATGGAAAAAGTGCACGTGTGTGTACAGGAGCAAAGCTGGGAGATATGAGTGTGTGCTAACAGCACATAGCAGTGTGAATCTAACAGCTTTCATCTCGTCAGGCTGCCTGTTGTGGTGCATTCAGAGTCTAATACTGGATGACCGCTGTGGAACAGGAGACGGTGTATACAGCATCACCCAGACTTCCATACAGTGCAGTAGAACATCACCGGGACTACCACTGTGAATGTGTCACTGTCCAAACACAGACTAAGCTGTAGTGGTGAAGTATTGATGAGCGTGGCAATAAGTGAGTCATTTGGGTGGAAATCAAATGAGAGGATCACCAAGGTTCACATTTGAATGGGAGGCAGCAGAAATCAGACAAATCCCTGATTTGGTTTTGCATATATCTGAGGATGTGAGGCTACAGTGGTGCTGAACTGTGGGTCCAGGGACTGGCTGGTGTCCATGGTGGTGCGAACCTGAAGCTCAAGTACAGTATGTGCTTCAGATGTGATAACACTGTCAGCTGCTCTCTGGTACAGGGAACTAAAGAGTCCAACACATCAAGCTGTGTTTCTTTAAAACAAGGTTTAAAGTAGCTATTCCTTCAATTAGCCTCTGCCAAAATGACCGATAGTGGGCCGAGGCAAGTATCAACAACCACTTTTTAAGGTGCCTTCAAGCATGCCAGGAATGGTTGCTATATTTCATTAAAATTAATAATTGGTGCTTAATGAGAGATAATATGTGACGTTAGTCGATAAGCACCGCGTATTGCCAGATATTGGAATTGGGTTTAATCATACCAAAGTGCATAATACGAGCCTCTGATCCATAATCCCGGGTTATAAATGAGTTTGGCAGCTGCGTAGTGAGACCCACCTCCTCGGTGTGTTTCCTCAGCGCCTTCTCCCGCTCGTACTGGGTGACGAGCTGCTCGTTGTCCTCCCTCAGCAGCTCCAGCTCCACTTCGTGCTCCTGGTTGACAGCGAACACCGAGTCCAAGTTCTCCAGCACGGCGACGACCAGCGGCATCAGCTCCTTCACCACGTCCTCTCCGTATCGCTCGATGAGCCGCTCAAACTCTCGGTATATGGAGCCGGCCAGACCCGAGACCCGCTCGGACATCATGGTAGCGCTGCCCGAGTCGTCCTGATACAGGACTACGTCGTCCAGCTCCATTTTTCTTGCCTTCCACTTGCACTTCGTTCCCCAGCTAACGTTAATGAGCTAGCCGCAAGCTTCGGCCGGCCAAAGGCTGTCCACCTTGCTACTTTTAGTGCAACGAAACGGCGTTCCTAAAACATGGCTCGGACGGTGTGTACTGTGCAGAAGAGACAGTGTACTTAATAAAAAAGTCTGTATTCCGTGGTCGTCCGGACGGCTGACTTTATAAGCTCGCTAGCCTCGCAGCTAACAGGACTGAAAAGTCTTTACTTGGCTGCTGATTAGTTTCCCTGTGTCCAACAGATGAGCTCCTGCTGCTGCCTTCAAGGGCCGTCGGAAAGATTGCGATGAACGCGGTTAAACGACACAGAAAAGTAATAAACACTGTAGAAAGAACGTCGGGTTGTCGTTTATTTCAGAGGTTACCGGATATACAGAAGAAGAAAAAACAAAAGCTACAGCACCACGCTTTAGCGGATGAGTGTGAACACTGTCAGCCCGTTAGTGAATATTGTTTATTTCATGTGACCTCTTGCTCATACAGCTGTAGAGCTGCTTTTATGTGACGTTTAAGGGGCGGAGAAAAAACGTTTCAACAACGGATTAAAAGATATCCTGGTTAATTATGTAGCAGTATCTCTCATGGGTGGTATCTCTAACCCTAATAATTAAATGTCACACTTTTGTCACATTTATTTACCTCGCAAATTGATTTCAGTCGCTGGCTTACTACATATTTCCTTCTTGTCATTCTACAGCACAAACAATGTAGTTATATTGTTCCGCCACTTGATTTCTTACGTTCAAAGCGAAAAGTAGACATATTTTGCTGAGCCAACTTTGCTAATGTACAGACTATCTGCACTGGGATCTGAATAGTCAGAGTTTAGAATTGGGAGTGAACGAGGATCCCTTGAAGATGTCATGCGCTGGTGACGGGACGTCGCGGTTACGTCACATGCTAAACAGGGCCGATGAAGGATAGAGAGGAAAAACTGGAGCTAATCCTCAGTGATCCATTCATTGGAGACATTTCATAATTATTACAACCCCTTCCATTGGCTCGTATGGCTTCAAGCAAGAGATGAATCCCATTTTTAAGCCTTGTAAAATGTCCCTTAAAAATACATTTACTTGGTTCAACAGGTGGCTGTTGCTGAGAAACATAGAAGAAAAAAAAATCAAAGCATGTGCTTCGCAAGAGCTTTTATTTGCATCAAGGCGTCCATTGCAATTGATTGAGAATTTGGAATAGTTATACAGGCATCATTTGATTTAAACTTAAATAGCATACATTCCCTGAAACAATAAGTGATATCCATGGCAAGTAAACAGAATCCCACACAATGTACAATCTTTCTTACCCTTTACATCCATCTTTTTTTTGCAGTACACCATGCACTATTCAAACTGCATCGTACTGAAATGAAGAACATTAACTGTAAACACAATGCACTCGTCACTGCCATCTTCCGTAAAAGTAATTCTGTTGACTTATTTTTCTGTAATGCATAGGCACTGTTCACCCTGATGTTTCAAGACGATAAACACAAGACAGACTAACCACAGTTACTGCACGATGAAGACACAATGCTTTCAGTCCACATTGAGGTAAAAAAAGTTACCCCTGTATCCTCGCACCCTGGATCCCACTGCTCCTCAGTCATCCCCACAGATGAGGAAGACAGCCTCTGACACTTTGAGTGACTAGCCTCTAACCAGGCGGACGGCACTCACACAAACATAAAAATGTAGAACACTGACTGATTACAGTAAAACTGCAGCACTGTCAAATATACTATGGACAACGCACATTCAAAGATCATGGCATAAAGTTGCTCATGGAGTAACTCAGAGTTGAAGTAAAACAAATGGTTTGAATTAAACAATTAAAAGTGCAATTTAAGAAAAGTTCTTGCGCCCCGAAATGTTAACCGATCGTGGAGTCGGCCTCTGCGACGCCTTTCAGATGGCATTGTGCTGGTTGCCGTTTAAAGACGACGGGCAGAGGGAGAAGGGCCTGTCGCTGCTCAGACTCTTGAGTGCGTGCAGCACAGTGTCGGGTAGGTGATCTGCGAGCATCCTGGGACTGATCAAAATACTCCTGAACGCCATTTCAGTCGACCATTCGGCACGGTAGCGCACCTGGGAAAGACAGGATCTGGGGGGGGGGGGAGGAGATAAAGACGGATTATTGGTGGCAAATCCAACTCGCAATTCCTGTTTTCAAAGAGTCTAAGGCCTCTTTCCACCCAACATTGACACACATCTGGTGGTCTGGTAGAATGATGTGTTTGTATAGGTGTGGTGGCATTATCCTTGTGAAACACTCGTCGTTGAAGTGGCAAACCAAATACAATTACAGAAGAAGTGGTTGAAACGGAAGTGCTGAAAGAAGTTTAAGTGCGAGTGCTGGAAAAAAGTTGGCTTTACAAGGACACCTGCATTACCGAGAGTCACACAAACACTTCTACATCTGTACAAACCTCCGCGACGGCCCGTCCTCTGTGATGTGCAGAATGCGTCCGGGCAGGAAGAGAGGTAAGTGGGCGGCCGTACGGGCGGGCGAGTCATCCGACGCCAGGCTCTGATAGGATGATGAGTGCCGAATCATCAGCGACTCCTCCCCCAGCAGCGGCTGGCTCAGCTCCTCCTCCCTCCTGTTGTCCATCTCGGTGGGGAAGTCCTCCGGGTCTCCTCCGAAGAGCTCGTACCAACACCCCTGCAGCAGGATGCGGTACTGAAACACAGACGGGGGAAACATCTTTAGAGACTCGCACAGCCGCCGGCCCACCGTCATTGCTTCGATTGGTTCTTACCTTGGGCTTATTGCAGTTTGAAACTATTTTAAGAATCTTTCGCTTCAGATCCTCCATATTGGGAATGCTCAATCTGGAGAAAAATATGCACAGATTAAAAGAAGGAGGGGCTACTGCAAAGGCAAAACACAACTTTAACAAAAAAAAAAAAAAACTGAGCAAAAGGAGCGAGTGAGTTGCTCTCATTTTCTCCTTCTCTGTGGCTGTAATAACAGGGCAGAGCCAAATATAGCGTCTCCATCACACAGTAGTCTATAATAGTCTGTGCACCGCGGCACATTCATATTGGCCTTTCAAAGAGACGAGAGGCTGCAGTGCTGCTCACACAAAAACATATATTTAACCTTCAGTGATCCGCAGTAAATAACGTCACAATAAACCAAACTGCTGCAAGGATCAACACACAATATGTCTATATCATGCATTGTCACTTTGATTAAACAAAGTGTTCAAAAGGCTAAGAAGCATTAAGCATAATAAATGAAGCCATCAGTGTTACCTGGGAACCAGATCCTTTCCCAGCACCACTGACACCACAAAGTCTTTGGAGTAATCAGCCAACGCTTTACTGCAATTACAGGAAATACAGAACAGAACACATAGATTTGTCCAATCATCAAACATCATACTTAAAGTGAACATTTCATATTTCACTTCACTGATAATTTAACAATTTAAAAACACAGTGTTGATAAGCATGTCATCGTTATACATGTCTATGAACAAATGAAAAGAGGTCTATCCACAGCACAGTGTTCCTTACCTCAGGAGGCCCCCTGGTGGAGAGAATGAGTAGCACTGCAGGGTGGGGAAGGAATTGCGCAAGAGGATGGCCAGCAGTGAGGCCGTGCCGGCACCCAGACTGTGACCAGTGATGACCAGTTTATACTCCTAAAAAACACAGAAACACAATGCATACGTAGAGGATTATTCGTGATCCATTACTGATGCAAAAGCTGAAGTTATTTCTTGAAAATAAACGGTCAACAGACACAGGATGTACATAATGGAAGAGTGCTGTGTAGGACGTTTTTGAGGACGACATGCTGTGTGGTGTGTCTGTACCGTGTGAAATGTAGCTTTTAACCCCGGTTACACTTCTTACCGGTGCGATGGAGAAAGCCTGGTTCAGGATGCCGTCGTTGACCAGCTTCTTGTAGATGTAACTCGCCGCCTGGCACATGCCCTGCAGGGGAAAAAAGCAGCGTGAATCTCTCCTGAAACGCACACGCTACACAGGAAAAAGCTTCTCCGCTTAAAGACGGGTGAAGGGTGCCGGGTTTAGATGTGCATTCACCTTGTGAGCGTAGCAAGCTCCAGACACGCCTTCTATGGGCAGGTTCTCACATTCAGCAGACAGGTCTGTTAGGACATCCTGCAGGACAGACGCAGAGCGTCAGTAACAATAAACTGGAACACTGATTGGCCTCGCGTCAAAGGCTACATGGAGAGAACTTTTATTTTGGTTGTTGAATGAAAAGCTCTGATCAGAATCGATGTTGGGACAAATGTTTTCTTGTGGACGAATGAGAGCAGAAAAGATTCTAATATTTACCACAATAAACCTCTCTACGTTGATGTGTGTTGACTCTTATACACACACACACACACACACACACACACACACATCACTCCCTTACCACGCTTCTTTTTCTATTTCAAGCTCTATTCTAATTTAGAGGATTCGCTACATGTCATCAGTCTCCTTTAACACTATTCTATCAGTTACCCAAGCCCTCGGTACAAAAAGGGAAGTGATTGTGAACAGTGGGAGGAACTGGGAGGGAGGATAACGGCAAGAATTGCAAATGCACAGCTGTTGTTCAGAAGAAACTGAGAAAAATAATGGCATTCCTTTTTCATGCACACGAATGGAAAGAACCTCGTTTACGAGTCAGATTTGATGTGTACTACTAGAGGGAATGTGTGATGATAGAAGTCTATTTTCGTGGTCACCAAGTAAGGAGCAAATAAGAACATCAACCGTCTTTCACAAGAAGAGAATTAAAAATATAATATACAAGCAAACAATTGAAACAATTAAGTGTTTTCTATTATCTACAGAAAAAAAGTTCCAGCTCACCTTCAGTGACAGCGTTCCTCTCACAGCCACCAGAACAGCCTCCCTCTTATGATCCAGAGCCACGTAGAACGGGATCTCATAGATCTGCGACAAAGACAATACGGGAGTCACTGTGACTGTTGGGTGGGTGCTGACATCTAAAAAAAAAAAGTCTAAACTTTGAACACAGAGGAGTTTACCTAACAGGGGCAACTAGGGGGAAAGTCCTACCTGGTTGTGGAAGCTGACGTGGATGAAGTCTCTGTACTGCAACCCGGTGCTGTGCAGGATGGATGAGAAGTGACAGCCGAGGTGGTCGCCTCCCACGATGTCGTACTCGGCTGCGCGACTTCTGCAGCTGATGCACACAAGCACACGTTTGGATTTGAATCAAAATGTGATCAAGTTTTCTTCTCAGACTCTGAAATGGACTTGTAGGCCTATGGAGCCCGGGAGAGGCCTAAAGAAAATATACATATACTGTGGCCACAATTTATTAATTTGTGCACACAATATAAAAGAGTACATCTTACCAGTCTCCACTGAGTTTGCAGGGCCCAGAAAGGGGGTTGGAGTAAACGTACAAGGGCCAGCCGTAGGCTGCCGCGGCAAACCGCATGCAGTGAGCTGCTTTCCCCAACTCCGCCTCCAAATCTTCTCCCTTTAGAACGGTAGAAGACGAACAAGTGAGAACATTCTTGGCTGCTTTTAGGTCTCCTGTACCTACATGACCCACAGAGTTCTGTACTTACGATGGGAGAGGAAGGGCTGTGATCGACCACGACGTCCGGGTCCCTACTCTGCTCCATCTTATCCTGCTCCTGGTGCAGCAGGGCCAAACCAGCTGCTATGTCACTGGGGACCAGGTCTGTGTCCTGCATCACAAACACCAGGCCGGAATCAGCATCTCACAATTTGTTTTGCAAGCAGTATCACACACCACCACTAGACAGTTCTTGTATATTTCACACTTTGCTATAGTCTTTCTTGATGTATTATACTAAGTCCACTGACTTAATGCTTAATGCAGAGACACAGAGAGAGACACAGACAGACAGACAGACAGACTTACGGAGAAGAACCTGCTGAAGAGCTGCGATATGCTGGAGAAGGCTGCTCGGCGGCTTTCGTCCTGCGGCAGACAGCAGCACAGCAGCCGCAGCCGGCTCTCCCACACCTTGACGGCGAGGGAGCGAGCCGTGGAGAGGAACTGGGTGCTTTCGTTGCTCTGCAGGTCTCTCACTCCCAGCGGCTCCATGGCAGCGGGCGGAGGACGGGGGTTGCCCAGCGGGTCGAACACAAACACCACGCCCAACCCAGTGAACAGCAGGATGATCCAGCTGTTGTAAAACAGAGAAAAAAAAGATGCTGAATCAAAAAGCATCTTCGACAAATTACAAAATGATGAACTCGGGAACCCCCAAACGACCTACCTGGCAACCACTGCTGTGATGACGGCGCCCACCGTGGCAGGATCGCAGCCTTTGCTGTCATCGGACACCCAGACGGCTCCCAGACAGGCCCACACCAGCTCGGGGAAGTACAGGAGAGCTCGCAGGTACACCAGTGCAGGGATGGAGCGCCGTGGGCCAGGGTTTGTAATGGTACCTGGGAAACAATCGGCAAACGTAAATGTACCTGTGCTTTGCATCTGTTAAAAGATGATGCTCGACGGGCTGCAACACAGAGGAAGATTGCGATGTTGCAACGGGTGATGGGGTAAACTGATGGTTAGAATTGGTTATGTCAATGTTTCATCAGAGTGCACTTAAGCACGACGCAGGGGGTTTCTCCTTCCTTCCTTCCTTCCTTCCTTTGTACATTTGTGATTACGATAATTATGCCTTTCGCAAGTGTATAGCTGTGTTAGTATGAAGGATGGCACTTGTGCAAAGTTATGTGACTGCATTGTGATCCTGCAGATTCCACCCCTACAAAAAGGTTGTTCAGTCATCTTTACATTTTACGCTGACTGAATTTTAGAAAGGCAGGAGAGCCCATAAACAAACCGCAGCCGCTTTACCTTGGGCACTGACGTAGACAATCGCACACAGTGACAGGATGATGAGCGCCAGCACAACCAGCAGTCCGACCAGATAGCTGTGAAGGAATCCCCTCCCATTACAATCGAAATGGCCCTTGTGATAAGTGAACAGGACCATTGTGCAAATCCACCTGCGGAGGGGAAAAAAGTGTTAGAGAAGGACAAGAGCAGAGTCAATGAATGACATCATTATGCCGGACTAGCCGGACGTCAGTTGGCAAAACAAACCCTCAGAAAAATCAAAGCCATTCACACGGGTAGGGTAACCAACGTACCAGATTACACGGACGAACAGTTCAAAGAAACTGGGGAAAACCAGGTCGTCACTGGCGATCCCCCACCGCCGACCAAACACCACGATTCCAGGCATCTCGCGGGTAAACGAGCCCAAATATCCCACTGACGGTGGTGTACCTCTTCACCACTGTGAAGCGGATAGGGGTTTCTGCAACAATGACCACTTCAAGTAACGCATGACATCACCGGAAAAGCAGAAGCTAACCTTTTACACCGACTGGCAACGAACTTTGTCCATCGTTGTCACATCCTAACGTCAATTTCCTGCGTTACTTAATTAGCCAAAAATATCTGAGTCTAACGGTGTAAGATAGCGACACGTTAACGGTTAGATGGATGTACGTTAAAATGCATGTGTCGGCTAACGTTACCTAATTCAACATTACGCATAGCTTTAATAACATTAGGTAATGTCGCTAATGCGGCTAACGTCAGCTAGCAGAATCTAGCTAGCTGTAGCCTACCATTGCGTGACTAGATTAGCCACCTAGCTAAAAATACTTTAGAGCTATTCCGAGAATGATAGCTAATCCCGCGTGACAAACACTGCCTTTCTTTGGCTAGTAATATATCAACATAACGCTTTGAAGCTTGTGTCACAAATTAATCTCAGAGGTTTAAGTCACATAAAACGCAGCTAGGTGTAGAAAGCTGGTTTGTTTTGAAAATAAAAACAAGCAGGGTTCGTCCGGTAATGGTACCCTATTGCAACATAGACCACCGAACATATGGTTCCGGGTGTTTCTCCACTTTTCTAAAGCACCCAATAACAAAGCCCCCTCGTGGCAAATGTTGATGAGTTTTATACACTACTTTTGTGTAATATACTGCGATAAAGAAGAAGTATAAAGCTGAGAAAGAATTAACAAAATCCCACTAAAATATATCTCCTACTTCTATCGAGTGCTTGCACTTGAGACAGATAGCAGTCGACTCCATCGCGGATCCGCCCTCAGGTCGGCATATCCGCCGTACTGTCTCCACTCAGTTCGGCCATTGCGCACAGGATACGGGCCGCCCACGGATCGCGCACCATCAAACAGCGGACTCGCTGCGGACACAAGGCGGATCCGCACATCGAACGCACCCTTTTCCGCCCCATTTCAAATACTGCAGGCAGCAGACAGCCTACCATTAGGACCCAAGCAACAGGGGGCAATAAAAGGGGGTGGGAAGTTCACCTGGGCCTTTCCTCCTGTATGCAGACAAACCTGAGAGAGCAGCTCGAGGCCAGCCTTTGTTTGGTGACTGATTTGGTAAGCTCTCTTTCTTTCCTGTTTAAAATATGTTTAAAAGCATGATTTAAAGAGTGAAATTGTATAAACATGATGTATTCGTTTTAGGTCATATCATTAAATCAAAAGTGTGTGAGATAATGGTTACAAATGTGTTTTATCTGCTAGAGGGGACGGTGTCCGGTCTAGAGAGGTCGATAAATACGTTTACATTGCATGTTTGTGTAAAGCTTCCTTTTTGTATAATGTGTTTCTTTTTAGTTTTAAACAAATACGCTAGAGGAGCCGACCACTGTTTTCCTCATGCTTATTAGATTTAGTAGTTTATTTTGTTTGTAAACAAATCAATTGACTGGGCCATTTTCTGTTGTGGGGCTTTATGCTGTGATGAAGGGGGGCCACGTGGTAGAGTTGGCTTCTTGCATGTATATCGTATTGTGTTGTTTGAGTCACCGTAGCGTGCTGTGCGTAGGTACATTTAATTTGTTTGTGTGCGGTGGTTTAGTCATAATTTGCCTACTACATATTGTCAATCAAATCTATATTTTCTATATAGCAGTTCCAGTTTATTCTGGGTTTATTTAACGATTTACATGTTGGCAATGTAACAAATTTCCCCCTGGGGATGAATAAAGTATACATCTATCTATCTATGTCGTCCTCAGAGCTTTAACCTCGCTGCACTGTGAGAAGGCGGTAACGTGTAACAGATCCGTGATCCCTACAGACGGCCTGCAGTTCAGGTAAGAAACTTTAATACACACAGTAGTTTGAGGGAAATGTTTTCACAGCAACTTAAAGAGACATTTGAGAGGGAATTATAACCCGTTTAACTTGTTAACACTAGTAGTTGTAATGATTCTGCTTCCAGCTATAATGACGAGATTTGTTTGAATCCAGTGAAATACAATCGTATAGTGTATAGATTAGTATTGTGTGTTTTGGAAGAAAACGCACATTGCAAACAATGGTTGCAATCAGTTTTTTTTGTTTCTGAAATATTTCTTTTAGATAAAATGAATAGAAAGACGGGGCCCGTCTCCAGGTCCACCGTAACACGGAGGGCCCGTCAAAAAGTTGAAAGACTTTCAGAAATGAGGGATAACTGCTCAAATCTGACTGCCTTTCAACGGACACTAGAGAGGGAACACCAAGATGTCGGAGAGTTTTTTGAAGAAAGTCTAAATTGTACAGATGAGCCAACTTGTCGCGACGCTGCAACTGGAGTAGTCTTTCGTGAGGACGGGGGCATGGAAGTCAAACCTGGACCTGACTGGAAGATGTATGATGTCAGAGTAATTAAATCATGTGGTATGCTAATTCTCTTAATATTCTTATTCTAACAATTGGCAGTTTTAAACATATCAAAAATCATTTACCTTGTTATATAGGGGGAAACATTTTAATCACGTTGTTCCGTTTATAATTCTGTACATTCTTTTTCATACTGTTTATTTGACTTCAATTTTAGGTAATTGCTTGGAGACACGACATCGTTTGAAGAAATCTTGCAACACATCTGATCTACAGTCAGAAGAGTCAATTCAAATAAAGAGAGAGCCAAAGCAGATGTGAGTAAATGCATATACATTTTTCATTATTTTCTCCACCAACGTTTTTACCGTCGCTTTCAAAAAAGCGTCTGTCATCCAGTGTTATAGTATGACAAATGAGTATTATTTTTCTGACCCACTTTAGTCATATCTTCGGGGACTCTGATGATGATGATGATGACGACGATGAGAAGAAAAATCCTCCAAAAAAGAAAGCCAGAGGTCCAACCACTAGCAGCACAGTTGCCCCGCCTCCACCTCTTCCACTCTCTCCATCACCTCCACCTCTTCCACTCTCTCCATCACCTCCACCGTTGGAAAGTAGAAGACGAGCAGGAGAGCAAACGCCTTCTGCCAGCCAGGTGTACAGACCTACTTGGCGAGGGGGGCGGTGTGGATCAGACACCATTGTCTGCTCTGGTGAGCAATAACTCAAACGGCTATGAGATTCAAATTGAACCTTTTTAATAATTTCACTTTTAAAAACGTTAACGATAGTATATTACATGCAACACACGCACTGCCGCATTGAATCCAAGCGAATATGATGATTAGGTTTGCGTTACTGGAATTGTATTATTGAATATTTTAAAGTGAGTCAGTTTGAGCTAGAATGTAAGAAGAGATATTTAGTGATTCTTTGCAGTTTTCTTCGCATAACCTTTCATTGCTGCTTACAGTTAAAAAAAAAAAAAACTGTATCCTGTTTCCATATTTCTAGTGAAATCTGTCTCAATCACTTGTCCAAATAATTTTAAAACCTTATTCTAGTGTTGTTGTTTTTTTTTGGTTTTTTTTAACAGCTGCTGAAGCTCATATTATGAGCTTACTGGAGAACATGAAACACCAGCAAGACCTATTGATTACCAGAGTAAACTATCTCACCAACATGCTACACCCAACTGGCCAAGAAGTGGAAGTGGCCGACCCAGAACAGTTCCCGTTGAACTCACTGGAGGAAGTGGTACTTTTTGAGGACCGCCTTAAAGATCCCTTAAACTCTCAGCTGAAGAAGAGTGTGGTGAGTTTTTTTGTTTTTATTAAGCATCTCAATCAATCTTGATTTTAACTATTCTATATTATATGTAATTAACACTGGATAATACCCTGTTTGATGAAAATGTATTTTAAAAACCATTCTGTAAAGTATCGGATGTTAACAGTACTTTTTTGATCCATGTTAGATTTCTTCCCTGGCAACCATCGGAGGACATGACATCAAACATGTTACACGGAACATCCTTGCCCGCATGTTCAGTGATGATGTTGGGAAGAGAATCAACTGGAAAGGGGTAAATGGGAAAAAGTCCTTCAGCCAGATGGAGTCGAAGACTTTGCTCCTGCGTAAGTAACTAATATTTAATGAAAACAATTTGAAGTCACCCAGAGGTGTTCAAACTTACAAATTAGCACGTTTCCCTGATCTCCTTAAAGGTGCTAAATTCAATATTTGAAATGCAACTTAATTCTCTGCTCGGGTAGATATTACTTGACTATATCTTTACATAGATAATAGTATATTAACTCTGAATATAGCATAGCAAACCTTTTAAATGTCAGACAGCCACTAGCTTTTAGACTGCATGTCTGCTATATGTTGCACTGAGGCTTCATGAGATTTTGTGTGATTACAGATGCCGTCAGAAAGAATCATGTCTCGTGTGATGCCACAGATGATGAGATTCTGAAACACGCAATTAGGTGGTTCAACCTGGCAGCAGACAGGGGAAGCTCCAGGAGGCGTGTCACTGTCCGCATCCCCACTGAACAGGCCTAAACATGTGTTATACATGTGATGTTGTACATGTCATACATGTGATGTTATACAATCCTTGTAAATGGATTTCATTTAATAAAAAACTTTGATACTTTTCATGGTTACATTTATTTTTCATTCTATTCAGTAAATGGGCTGTAATGGCCTTTCTTTTTTTAAGATAATGTTTTGCCTTTTGTTAGATGGTTGGGATTAGAACCCAGGGAGCTGATGAAAGGACTGTTATTATTAGAGGATTTTATTGTTACTTGCAGAGTCCACTGTTGGATATAAATGCACCTGGGATTTTACACAAACTACGCATTTATGCTCTCCAGTGTAACTGTAGATTTTAAGTCTTGAATAAATTACACATATTATTAATAGAGCAATATAGATGTTGGTCAGCTTGATTTGAGATATTTATGTAGTTGGTTTTGAGTAAAGGATTCGCGTCATGAACTGGTCCAAATGAGCCCTTCGCTGTAACCAGTGAAAGAATATTAATTCAATATTAATCTTTCAGTGGTGTTGCACAATAGCAAGCTAGCTAGTATATTTTTCTTTCATTACAGTTTGCTGAAAAAATGTCTTCATGGTAGGCTACTGCTCATAAAATTAAATCTCCATTATTAATATCGTTAGTTCCGTGTTATATTTATCTTTATATTTCTAACTGTTGTAAAAGCCCATTTAAGGTTCCATGGTGTAATGGTTAGCACTCTGGACTCTGAATCCAGCGATCCGAGTTCAAATCTCGGTGGAACCTGTCTTTATGCTGTTTTTGCTCCACCACAAAGGTAAAGGCTGTGTCCAAACAGCATGCAGGTTAATGGCCTCTCAAGAACCTACCCGAAAATCGGAAGCGTTGCTTAGCTTTGAGCAGCTAGCTACATTACCCAACTAGTCATACCGACGTCAGTCCAACATGGCGGCCCACATAGCACGACGTTGTTATTTACTATGTCGTCGTGCTGGAGAACATGTGATTCCACAGCACGGAAAACGAAGGAATGTCTTAATAAGAGACATTAACAACACTTTGCAGCAGAATGTTGGTTACGTGACACGAGGGACAGACTCCACGCAGGTTAGTCAAGTGTTCAGGCTCAGGACGGAGGAGCGAACGGTGTGCTGAGGATGATAGCAGGGTGTGCTGACTTTAGACGGGAGCAGTACTAAGCCAACAAATGAAAATTCATAAAACAGTGTAAAAGTACTGTGTCGTAGTCTGATAACGTCTTTGACAGTACAATGGACTTAATGTCAAGGATGCTCAGCATGTGTTTTATTTCCTACGTTTTCCAGGACGCCCACGTGCACATTCCAGTGGGTAAATATACAAATGTATTTTCAAGCATAAAAATAAAGTATTGTCATTCTATTCTTCAACAATAATGTATTTGCTCTTTTTTGGTTCTTAGACCGCCTGACGGTATCTTACAGCAGAAGCAGTGGTCCTGGTGGCCAGCATGTCAATAAAGGTTCTTAAAGTTGAACTTCTTTGTTAAACACATATTTGCCACAGTTGAATCTGTTACAGTAAGTTCCTTTTGTGTAATGACATCTCTATCCGCAGTCAGCACAAAAGCAGAGGTTCGATTCCACGTGCAGACAGCCGACTGGATCCCAGAAGATGTTCGACAGAATATCTTTGAAAAGGTCTGTTTTTTTTCTCAGTATTGTAGTTCCCAAATAGAAGTTATGCCCCTATACTCAATCTTTTGTTTTCTCCAAAGGGATCATTGCATGTGCAACAGTAAAGCAGCACAATTAGTTTTTTGAGTGACCTCCCAATTAGCTGATTTTTGCTGTGAATCTGTAACCGTTTAAAACCAACCGTTCACATTTTCCTGCTTCCTGACGCAGAACAAAAACCGCATCAACAAGGCCGGGGAGCTGCTGGTGACCTCCGAGCTGACCCGGAGTCAGCACAGAAACCTTTCTGATTGTATCCAGAAGATTTCTGCCATCCTGACCGAGGCCAGCGAGAAGCCGCGTGAACCAACAGCAGAGGATGTGGCCCTAAGGGCAGCCAGGTACTTTACCCAGCGGCAGAGCACACAGATTCATATCCACCTTGATTTATGAACTGTGTAACTCTGTGTGTCTCTAATGTGAAATGTGTTTTCATGCAGGTTAGAGAAGGGGAACAAGGAGCGACTCAAACAGAAGAAGATGAATTCAGCTACCAAGAAGAGCAGACGGGTGGATTTTGACTGATTGACTGTTACGTTTCTACCTCCCATGATTGTATTGTCAATACGTATAGTTTATATGTACAGCCTTAGTTATATTGTCTTTTAATTTCCTGTACAGTAAAAGTAAGTAGAAACATTTTTGTCACTAAAGACCAGAAACATACAAACCAATCACATACAAGCCAGAAACATACAAACCAATCTTAAACTCGGGTATAGGTCTCGATTTTGGTCATTTTCTATGGAGGACGGGAAATGAATTAAATATCAATAAATAAATAAATGTAAACATACAGAAATAAAGAATGAAATAATGCTGAAATAAATACATGCTGAGATAAATTAATGCGTTAACATACATAAAAATTGATAAGTAAACAGGATGTAATGTAGAAACGGCATTAGGGAGTCTCATTCAGAGAGAAAAAGCTAGCAGAGGATGGTTTCGATCCATCGACCTCTGGGTTATGGGCCCAGCACGCTTCCGCTGCGCCACTCTGCTCCGGTGAACGTATAGAAAGACAGACGGAAAGTCAAATCTCACATGCTAACAAGAGTTGTTAACGCTATCTTAATGTGTGTCGTTGATGGCAGTAGTGTTGGTAACAACAGTTGTTATTTTAATGCACGTTATGTATGATAACACTAGTCTAGTATACAATGTACGAGCCTCAAAACGTTTAGGTTCAACCTATTGGTTTGACTTTAACGTTAGCCACCAGCTACAACCATAGGATACAATCACATAAAAAAAACTCTCACCGTGAGAGTAAAAGACGACCACGAAGGGACTCGAACCCTCAATCTTCTGATCCGAAGTCAGACGCCTTATCCATTAGGCCACGCGGTCGGATTGACTGCTAGCACCCGGTGTTTTGTAGAAATTCTTACAATAGGAAGGAAGGAACTTTGAAGATCGGATAAAGACATACATATAAACGGAGATAATTAAATTAAAAAAATTGATAAATGCTGAAATTAATGCAAAAAATTAAAGTTTGTATTAAACAAGACATAAATAAATATTGTAGAACTATTTCTACATTTTTTTTCCACCTACATTCATTTATATACTTCTGTGATTGTACGGTAATAAGGTAGGAAATACCTACTAACCTCATCCCATATTTATTTCAACATTTGATTCTGTATTTATAGATATGTTGTGTGCATTTATTAGTATGTCATCGTCCTCCATGGTGAAGGTAACAGTTTCCTTACGTGTTGATTGTAGAAACAACAACTTGCTCTCGGGACCATCAGACTGATTGACCTGAAGGTGATCAGTGTCACAGCATTTGTCATGTTTTGTAGCTTTATTGCAGTATTGTATGCAATTCTCAAAAACAAGTTTTTCTTTATTTTTTCATTTAACTCAAGCCATATATTTATTTTTTTGTGCTTTCAAAGATAATATTCTAACATGTAATGCTCTTATTTAATAATAAAGTCTACAAACGTGGACGTCCTGTACTTTATATGTGTGAGATTCATCCAGTTGTTGGGGCTGTAATAATAATAAATAGTTTGACGTATAAATCAAGACAAGCACTGATGAAGCCTGAACATATACAGTGAGTTGGCTCGTCTAAAGTGCCTCAAGAACTTTAGGCAAGAAGGTTTATTTAGTGTCACAGCACCTTTCAAACACAGCTGCAATTCAAGGTTTTATGGCAAATAAATGCATCACAACTGTTAATATATCGAGCATCCAGCAGCAAAAGCTAACTGTCGTCAGCGAGCCATCTGATATCAGCCAGATACTGACTCAAACAGCTGGATCAGGTATCTGTCACGTTATGCCGATATAGTATTGATTATTTTAATGAGTAACAATTCAGTAAATTTGTATCTATTATTATTTTTGTGTTTCACAAAGTTTGGAGAGCAATGCTTTAGTAACAAACTGTGTGAAAGACAATTCCAATCTCTTTATTCTCGCTGGATTAAAAGTAAAATATGAAAAATGTGTGTGCGAGTATGGCGGTCACTGCAGAAGGTGGATTTTAGTCAAAATGAATTTGCTTAAACTAATTACATGTTGCTGGAAAAGCCGACATTTTTTGAAGATGACCCCGAGTATCAGTATACATACAACAACAACACAGGATTCACTTAATGCTTTATTAACAGGGTAAAGTAGGTCTTAGTTCAGTAATGACCAGAGGAGGCTAAATTTTAATGCCAGTATCTTAAATAATAATGCACACAATATGAACTGGATAATAGAAGTAATGCCAATAAAACAGGTTTATTCTGACAATTTGTTAGTGACATTCACGTATAGGCACTGAAAAAGTAAAAAAAAAACGAAAAAATATTTGTAAACATTCAAACGCAAATAAATACACAGGTACAATTTTATATTAGCTATCCTAAACATACAAAAGATGAGGCGTCAAACATGTTCAAGTGCAATCGGTAGGACGTTACAGTAAAGACACCTCAGGAGCCTTTCAGAGGCTCTGGTTTGGCCTTGTTTCGTCTCCGCTAACACACACTACTCCCTCTGTACGCGTGAATCACTCTAAAAGACATGAGCGTTGACCTCAAATGCACTCCATACTAATAGTCCAATAATCAATAACACTTTGTTTGGGGGGGGGGGGGGGGGAGCAGGATTGTAATTCGAGTACCAGGTTGCAGGCTTTCATACATCCTTCGCTCTTTTTAAACACATTAGCCACAAACAGGAGCATAGGTCCCTCGGGTGTCGGCTGTGACACGTGTGAAAAGGTTTCGAGCTCGGCTATGTCTTCAACTTTGCTGAAGAGTCAGATATGAAATGAGCGAGCTGTAATCACATTCAATACAACAGGTTTACACATGGCAGGTTACCCAGAGAAAAAGGCATATGTACCGTATATTGTGAGAAAAGGTGCAATATGTTTGCAGGTTAGTTTAATAGTTTGGTGTTGGACAGAGTCCTGGTTTGAAGCCTTTTACTGGTTGCAGTTCTGCTGTACAGTCGGTCTGTCTAGCTATAACTAAAGGGAACATATTCTAATAGAAATATCTAAAAAAGCTCCCAAGAATTATAATTCCGCCACTGGACCATTTTCTCTGAAAAAGGGTCCACATCTTTTCCCATCCCAATGACAACAAACTGTTCCCTCCTCCCAAATAATAAAAATGCTTACACTGCATATGATGCACGACCTTAAAGATTTGTATATTCTGTATGACGAGTGTCCGTAATGCCCAGGAAATAGTGAAAATAACAATCTACAGAGATTGTCCTTTGCAAGACAGCAGCGTTTTAGCATTTAGTGTCTTACACATTCAAAACAACAACCGGTACAATTGGTTCTAAACTATATTCTATACTGTGGATATCACTCACTATTATTAATAAACAATGCTTCTTGTATCTCACAGAACTATGATACTGTTGGGCTCAGTTGAAGACAATCTTCAGCACTCAGTGACTTTAACACGCAGATGGGGAAGGTATGTATTTTAGAAATGTGAGCACTTTGAATGCAAGCACAAGTGGTAAAAGTAGTCCTCACTAGTAGGCCCGTCACGATGATTACATTATTGACTTATCGTACGACATATGGACATGACCTCAATATTTGTTGGAGCCATCGTATCGTACGATATACAGACATGCCGTCGAGAATTTTTACACAATTGAGTTATTGTACAATATATGGACAAGACCTTAGAAAAGAATATTTTTGGTGACCTCGATGTTGATCGTTGACGTATGTACATGCGTGTTTGTTGACATAAGAATGTCACTAACGTGTTAGCCAGCATGATGCCAGAATAAACTGCAGGGTTCCCTACCGGTATAAGACTCGGACAATGCGCACAAAACGTTGCACATTGTTAACAGCAAGAGTCCATTTTATTTCATCGTTTTGGTCTTGTGGTTTTATTTGATTTTTGTTTTATTTATTTAGAATATATTGTTTTTTTTGTCACATTCCAATTTAAATGACTGAAAATTCTAAATAATTAAGAGGTCATTGCTGTTTGAAAGGGTATACTTGCATTATTATGCTATTATATTACATCACTGGAATAGAACGTGTAATATAATGACGGTAATATATTGTCCGAGAAAAGTGATTATCGTGGCAAGCCTAAACACGAGTTCAACATAGTTAAACGTTTTGGGAAATATATTTATCTGCTTTCTTAATATCGACACCACTTTAGTGAGTTAGCTCGATATGAAGCCTCTGGTAACAGTCAGTTAGCTTGCTGAGCTAAAAACAGAAAACAGGGGTAACCAGCTAGCCTGGCTATGTTCAAAGCTAACAAGATCTGACTCTAAAGCTTCCTTATCACCACATCTTGTTAAGTTAATTTAAGTAAAAACATACTATACCCAAGCAAAACCAAAACATGTCATTGTCAACAGAGCCGGGCTAGCTGTCTCCCCCCGTTTCCAGTCTTTATGCTAAGCTAGGATAACCGGCTGCTGGCTGTAGTTTTTAAATTCACCGTACGGACAGGAAAGTGGCATCAATGTTTGGAACAAACTGACAGGAAGAAAGCTAGTCCTCCAAAATCTCTAGATAAACGGGCGAGGCACACGACGAACTGGTGGTGAGGTCACACACAGAGACCGGTGCTAGACAGCAATGTCGTCCACACTAAAGGCTTCTTTAAATTTAAAGCACTGTCCACTTGTATAGTGACAAGCGACACGAGAGGAGAACTATTGGCACCTCTAGTTAAATATCCTTGAGACAGACAGCACTGTGGCCTGAGAGGATCCATCTTTGTCTTTCTAACTGTAACTATGCAAATGTTAGTAGAGTCCATTATAAGCAACGTAAAAGATACAGATTCATGTTAATATAATACTTAGATTTCATCAGAGAGTTACTTTGTGAAGCTTTGACATTTAGTGCACTTGTGAGGCTCATGAAAGGCATACTGCTATTACTGTGTTATTATTGTGGTAGATGGCGACAGTAGTCAGGCACTGAAGCCAGTATATTGAATAGGAACGCTGAGTAAGAGAGTATGAACTCAATCTAGTTCTGAACTAAATGTCATTCAAGTTTCATATAAGTAGGACTGAATTCTGCAAAGCTTTTCGAATTGATCACATGCAAATCAGATTCTGGTGTACGGTTGGACGGCGACGCGTGCTCCAACTGAACTGAGCTGTACTCGAGCTAGCACCCTCTGTAAGACTGTTTACACCCAGCCCCTGTTCATAACCTCCAGCACTTAACACTGAGATAACGCGTTATCGTCCTCTACGGAGCCAACCAGTGGACCATTTACTGTTTACTAGACTTGCCAGACTTGCCAGATTTGCTGGCCTTAGCAGCTTTGGTAGCTTTGATGTCCATCTTGGTCTTCTGGATACGAGAGAAGATCTCTTTAAAAAGCGCTTTGTACTCTGGAGTGCTCTGTCCCAGCCTCTTGTCCACCGCCTCCACCTGCTTGCTGATGCTCTCGATGGCCTCAGGGGTGGAGGGCGACTGGGTGGGGGTAGGCGGAGGTGCCGGGGTGGGGCCCATGGCGCAGTCTTTCATGGACGGGTCTCGGGAGACGGGCCTGGAGGTCTGGACGCCGGCGTGACACAGGTTCTCCTCGTGGCGGCGACACTTCCCCAGCAACTCCTCGTACTTCTCCAGCAAGGCGTGGTACTGCTCGTCCACCTCCCGGAGGATGGACATCCCCCTCTTCCTCACACTGTTGGCGTGGAGGGCGTAGCTGCCCCTCCGGCGGCCGGAGGCGTCACGGGCCACGATGGCGTTGAGCGCCGTGTCGCTGCAGCTCTTCCTCACCGGGCTGGACTCTGGGAGAGCCTCCCCTCCAATGCCGCGGCCGCCTTCGGCCGCCTCCCTCACGCCCCCTCCCGTCTCTCCGACCTCGACCTCCAGGAAAGTGTCGGTCTCCGGAGTGCTGTTGAGGACCGTCTGGGTCAGGGCCACACCGTCGTCCTCGCTGCTCAGCAGGTAAGTCCGAGCGCGGCGCAGCTGCTGCAGCTCCTGTAGCTCCACCTCCAGCTCCCGTACCCGCGCCTGGCAGCTCTCAGCATCCTGAAAGCAAAGACGATCAAAAAATTGTCGCTTAATATAATTATCTGATAAAAAAAAAAATGTATCTGTATATTCTTCACGGGTGTATTATACATTAGGGGTGACACCAAAAAGTAAGTAATTGATGACTCTTCCCCAGTTGATTATTTACATGAAGACAATTGTTTTTTTGAATTACAAGTTTTCAGAAATGTTAGGTTTACTTATGCCAATGAGGTCTAATGTTAACTTTTGGTGAATTTAGGAGAAATCTAGAGAAATGGAGAAAGTAGAAAAATAAACACCGTAATGAGTATTTTGGATGTTTTCTCTCCAGTCTGATAACAGCCCAAAAATCTCAAAATGTGCCCACCTGCACCCGTGTCTGCAGGCGGGAGAACTCTCCGACGAGGAGGTTGCACTCCCTCTCCACCCCCTCCCTACGACCCCTCTCGGTCCGGGCGGCCGCTCTCAGGGCCGACACCGCCTCCCTCAGATGCTGGTTCTCCTCTTCGAACGGTGGACGCTTCACATCCACGGTGAAGCTCTCGGCCCTGCCCACCACAAACTCGTCCTCATACCTGACAAAAACAAAACGACAGATCACAGGCAGTGTTTTTTCCATTGTTGTGAAGATGACTTGCCACCTGCTCTTCTTTTTTTTTTTTTCCTTTAAAAAAAAAAAAAAAACAAGAGACAAGGAAATAACAAGTACCTAGGTGCCGTGCAAAGCTCCTTCAGGCAAGGGAAGGAGTGGATGGTCTTGCGTCGCTCCCTCTTCTCCCTCCTGACTCGGAGCTGCTCCATGGAGCGTAGCTGCTCCACCTGGCCCGAGAGAGAATCCACCTGGTTCTGCAAATTATCGATGGTCCCTGTTAACCTGGTCCAGGAGGAAGAGAAGGTGTTAAAAAGCGTACGAGAGGGAGGAGGGTGAAGGAGCGGAGGGCAAGAAAAACCTGCAGTCCCACTCACGTCTCTATCTTTTGTTGTGAGCCCCGGCTGTCCATCACCAGTGTGTGGTTGGTGTGCTCCAGCTCTCTGGCGGTCCCGTCCAGCTGCTCGTACACTTTGGCGTGCTGCTCGTTCATGTCCCGAAGAACCTCCAGCTGCTTGGACAGGTACTACGGGACAGACAAGTTGACGAGTGCTTGTTAACACGAACACATTTCCCTCATATCCATACACAGGAAGGACAACCTTAGAAGTCCAGGTCTCAGTTAACTGCCATTTCAAAAGAAACTTTAAACTTCAACATTTTCAAAGTTGTAATTTGTCTTAATATAACCAAATCATGTGCACCTCCACATAAAACTACATTCAAATTGAGAAAATATGACGATAGATATGAAATACGGTAACTCACTGTCTTCAAAGGAACATTCCCAAATATCTTTTCTATTTTTTCCAAAGGGCTTGGGAAAATAACACTAAACATGTGTACTGCGTCCAAAGTTTGAATGTTAGGATTTGTATACATAAGGGACTTCACTGGAAAGCTACAGAATGAGGAAAATCTAAAATAATAACAATGGACCCACCCTTTAACTGTACTTTATCTATGAATTCACTTCATGACTCAGGTTAATGAGTGAGATAAATAGAACTCTTGACAGCGATCCATCTTTCGTACCTCGATCTCTTGCACTTGCTCTTCATTAGTGATGTACATCTGCTGCAGGGAATCCTCCAGCTCTTTGTTCCTCTCCAGCAGAGTCTTTCCCAGCTCCGCCGCTAAGTGGAGGTCTAGAAATCAGAATGAGATCGAGAAAGAGATGAACAAATAAGTGACGAGTGCAGACAGAGAGACCAGGATTTAGCAAGACGGATACAAAGAGCGAATGTTGAGGATTAGGGAAAAGAAGGCTGAGGAAGAGGCTGGAGAGGAGGGATTGATGAAGACAATAGGATCATTTATAAGTGTGTGGAAGGAAATGGTGACCCAAAAAAAAAAAAAAAAAAAAGTAGGGGAAGGAGTGAGAGGACAAGAACGGGGAACCTAATCTCACAGAAGAAGATGGCCTGCAGCCGCACAATTTAGATCAGCCGCTGATTAATGGAGCGCGTTGTTCTATTTTAGGTGGAGGTTATAGTGGGGCCTGGAAAAGAATGATTAAAGGCTCCATCACATGGTCTCAGTCTGCAGTGGACCAGTTCAAATATATACGGAGAGCAGAGCGCCATGTCTCCCTGCAGGTCCTCTGCTCTCCGATGACTGAATATGAAGGTCAGAGATCGATTATTTGAAGAGACACCTCTGAGATTAGGACAGAAATAGAGGCTGTCAAATTTATATTTAAAGTATTGAATAATAGTGCATTGTTAAAACCACCAGCCATTGTTTTTACCTTATTGCGCCCCACTCTACCATTTGTATTTGTGTTTGCAGACCGTTAAAGCAACACGAGTCACAGCCATCGTTCTTCATTCTGACTGTGCTCTGACTCAGCGGTATTGATGGCCGACATCGCTGGGTCTGAGTCAGCGAGATGTGGTTTGCGACCTCTCGGAGAGAAAGCAGAGGACTGAACTGAGCAGCCAATGAATGCTGAATATTGATGACTGGGAGGGAAGCCGAGTCCTGGCCTACCTGTATGTTACTGCTACATTCACCAGCTGATGTTCAGATGGAGTAAATAGAGACACTGAGGACTCAACCAGCAGCTCACAAAGATTCAGTGAGTCTGAAAATTGTGATTTTCAGATTGGATTCACCGAACCTCTACCAAGCAAATTATTTTCTGAGTTTCTAACATTTTGAAATGTTGGTTCGGCAAAACAAGCCATTGGAAGTCATCACCATGGGCTCTTGGAACCTCTGATGGGCAGTCATCACTGTCTTCTGACAACTTGTTGACTTAACGACTACAAAGACTAGTCTGTGCACATAGTCGTCCGTTGCAGCCCTTGTCTGGTTTCCTATAATTCTCCGCTTATTGATAAAAATGATTTGCACACTAGCCCACTGCAGTGAGAGAGAAGCCATCTAGCAGTCAACTTTGCTGCACTCATACCACAGCATACAGCTTCAGGCATCTCTTAAGTAATGATTCACTCAAAGGACAACTGACAACTAACTAACTGTCTGATGAGTAAATAGGCAACTGTATGCTAACAAGTTGACCAGATCAACTTAAAGGTGATATGCAAGTATTGTGTTTGAAGCATAAACAGTTGGTGCAGGTTTGCTACTAGCTTTTTCAGCAGAGCCCGACCAAGGGGCAACCCCCGGGTCTGAACATGTTAGCCCATGTGGAAGTGCCTTAAACCTGCATTCTTTCTAATAACCAGTAGGGGGCGACTCCTCTGGATGCAAAAAGAAAATATATGAGAAAATGACCCAACTACTCACTTGATATATTCAGTTTTTCTTTTTTAATAAATTTGCAAAAATTTCTACATTTCTGTTTTTTTTCTGTCAAGATGGGGTGCTGAGTGTACATTAATGAGAAATAAAATGAACCTTTTTGATTTTAGCAAATGGCTGCAATGAAACAAAGAGTGAAAAATTTAAAGGGGTCTGAATACTTTCCATACCTACTGTATATAAGCAGAAGCAGCCACGGCTGAGGACCTCTGATAAGCTCTTCTGATCCTATCCAGCCTTGGGCCAGTTCTGACAAATCTAAAAGCAAAAGTCCACCAAGAAAACCAGACGACACGATCACTGTGTTACTGTCCACATCCAGCTGGCACAGAGGGAGCTCAGTGACAAGAGTGTAGCAGGAGAAGGAACACAAAGTGATCGTGGGAGAAGAGAGCCGATCGATATCACTCACTGCGCTAGCAAACGACTTATGTAGCCAGACAGCTGTCTGTTTGCTCCACACACACACGAGGCCGGGCCCAGACGTGCTCCGGCATCATCGCATCATGTATGACAAACATATTTCCCGCATGCTCCAGAGAGCCAGTTCCAACCACATGGGAGTGTGTTTGTGTGTTCACAGAAATCAGTTGCACTCTTCGCGCAGTGAGCGCAAGGCCAGATTTAAAATATCCGTTGATGTGCTGTATGATGGTGATCTCTTCCACAGGCAGTGTTGTTCTGGTAGGTGCGTATCTCCCATGAGATTTATTGGAATGTGGAAAACAAGACTTCTCCTTCTCCTCTTGTCCTGTGTTGCAGACCCGACTTCTGAAAAAAGGTTCCAGAAACATCCAGTGGCCAGAAATGAATTATTTAGTGCGATGGCGGACTGCTTTTCTGTCCTTAAACTGCACTAATGTGTTATTTGCCAAAGCGGAAGAATTCTTGCAACATTTTTATGGTCAACACCGGGACCTTTGCTCTTTAATGCTGCGTCCTTGGGTGGCGTAAACAACACACCGTAACAAGAGCATTTAAATAGTCTTTCATCAGAGACTCCAGTCTCAGCTGGTAAGGGCCACGTATTTCTCTCTTGGACTTGGGCCAGTAGAGGCTCAGGCTAACACACAATGGGCCCAAGCAAAAGTGACATGTCTGCACACTTCCCGTTTTCCTGCTGAAATGTGAGCTACATCGTTACCTCTCTTACATTCCACAGTGGGGGGGGGGGGGGGGGGGGGGGGGCGACTACTCTGCTTTCCAAGTCAGACATCTGCTAAATCTCCACACAAACAAAATGCTTCATTCTCAGATGACTTGAAGGAAGAGATGAACATATGAAGATATGTACGTATGAAGATGTAACGCTTTGATAGGTGAGCTTGATAAAGTGATCAATCTCATGTCATAAAATTGAGAATGAATGCCCATCGCGACTTCCAAGATGAGTCCAAGATGACCTCTTCAAATGTCTGGTTTTTGTTCGACCAGAAGTCAAACACCTAGAAATATTAAAATTATAAATGACAGAGAAAAGAAGGGAAAAAAATAGGTTGTTTTAGTCTTAATCGACTCAGATTTCACAATCCGATTGGCGTTTTCTTTAATGACTTATTTCCGATTCAAGATTCAAGCTATAAAGTGGTGCTTTTGTGCGAGTCTTTGTGGAGAAACAGTCGGTTAAATCAAGTAATCGATTAGTCGACAAAGTCGTACGAGTGTTAGTCGACGAGTAAAATAGTCGGCGATAATTTTTCTGTTGATCGACTTATCAGTTCATCGACTAGTCGTTTCTGCTGCACAGTGTTTGAAATAAAATATTGAGGCTCTTCTCATTCGTCCACGTTTCCTCCGTAAACCTCGAGCCTTTTTCTCTCACAGCACTGAGGTCAGACTGCTCAGCCTGCCAGCGACTCTGGAATGACAACAACTACAGTACTGTAACACAATGACAGTCTCTCACTCTCTCTCCCTGAAGGATTGGTGGCATCCTGAAATGTCGCACAACAACAAAACATGAGCTCTGCTCCGAGAGTTTTTTTTTTTTTTTTTTTTTACACCAGCCATTTTGACCTTTATGAAAGTTTCTCCCGTCTACTGCCGTCTCTCTTTTACTCGCTCCTGCTCTGTGAAATAAAGACCATTGGAGATCCATTTGTATCCTCGGGTCCAGTGATGTCAGACAAATAAAGTTGTCCAACAAATACATTATGTCATGATTGCAGCTATATGCCTGTGTGTGTGCACATGGGATTATGAGCAGGTATAAATCACCGCATCAGCACCCTTTCATCTCCGGGAACGCACCGTTATAATTACTCGCCACGAGCACGAGCGATGGAGAGAGGAAGGGAGACAGGAAATGGAATGAGTGGTGCAGAGGACAGCGAGGAGTCTTTGTCTGTGATCAGACTTTTAAAAAAACCATTTCAAGGAGCCATATCAGCATGAGAGGGATCCCAATCTTTTTTCTTGGTAATATATTTAATTTGATGGTAAATTGGCAGAGGAATGTGTTAACAGACGTTCAGTACAATATACAAGTATACAATATAAGTGTGACCCCATCCAAAATGTACTTTCCAATGTGTGACTGACTTTTATTAGTTCCCCTTAAGTGGAACATAAAAAGTCCTCGTCTATATGGAAATTGGCTGATATCAAGTCCATCTGGAATAACATAAAAGAGATTAAATGTTTGTTTTTTTTAGTTATCAATACTGAAATAAAGTTGGAAACTTTTAAAGAGCATGGTCAGCTGATTGGTCCTCAGATATTTAAATATTAGGAGCATGAATGACCAAGATGCGTGTAGACCATAAATGCAGCCATATAGCTGTTAACGCATACAGCAGGTGGCCTTATAATGGCAAGATCGAGCCGGGTAATTAGCTGGCTCTGAATTAGGTTAATTAGACAAAGACTGAACAGCGATCCCTCGGTGGGTTCCTTTTTTTGTCTTGACATTATAGTAAATTTAACATCAAAACAATCACTTTGGGGTCCAGAAAACTGTGATGAGCATTAAACTTAAACCAATCAATTAATGGACAGGTCAATCGACAATGAAAACATTAGTTAGTTGCAGTTCTAACTAGCACCGTATCAAATGATATGGAAGATGGTTACAGCTGTCTGTTTACTCATTGGTTCACAACAGATTCTGAGGTTGTTCCTTGCCTTGAGAAAAAACAAATCCTTATCTTACACCACTTTAATATTACTGCTTACCTTGTGCATTCAGGCTTTACGTCAGCCTAAAATGATGAAATAATGAATACACGACAGTGTCTAAACCCTTTTGTAATAATTAGGCTATGTATTATGGAATTGTGACATGTCATACTAAAATATTGGGGGGGGGAAATGTCCACCAGAGCCCAAGGCGACATTCAAAAACCCAAACATAATCAATGCACAGTGACACAAAACAGATAAAAGGCAGCAAAAAAGAATCCTCACAGCTTGATAAACAAATAGTTGATGACAAAATCCTTTTTGTGAATATAATGAATGAAGTAATGTTTAAACCCCCATTAGCTAGAGCCCTGATAACATTGTCATTGACACACTGTTTGATGCTGACAGCCATAGCAGGCCCTGTTTGGCATGCTGTCAATGCATTGTTGTCAAAGAAGCCCGGCTTGCTCCTCACAAACTACTTCAGCATTTCTCTGGTTGCGTTGAAATGGAGGAAGGACTTGTAAAAGACGTCCCGGCCGTTTCTGTGCATCACAGAGAGCCTTTGTTACGTGGAGGCTAGCTAGCTAACCGGCCGGTCGGCAGCAGTTGACAGAGAAGATGCTGCGGACAGACAGATAGGATGGTGTCTATCTTACCCTGCTCCAGGTCCTGTTGGTCGTACCACGGCTCTTCCTCTTCGGTCACGAATTCCTCCATTCCCCCTGAGTTTAGCATGGGTGACCCCCCTTCTCCTCCAGAAACAAGCCGCTCCGGCTCCTCCAGGTGCGCTCCTTCAATCTCGGAGCTGCGCACGAGCGTCTTCGTTCAGCCAGGGAGTGATGTGTTGTGGCTCTCCGTGTTTCCTCTCTCCCTCCGTCTGCTCCTCTGTGTTTCCTCGGTCACTCCCACCTATCTCCCTCTCATCCCCCCACCGGCCCATCCCGGTCCTCACACCCGTCGTCGTTGCTCCTGCTGCTGCTGCAGAGGATCCTACAGACGTGGCAGCGATGTTGCAACGGGCACTTCCTCTCTCCCTGTTATCAGAAGCACACTCGCGATGCCTTCACGTGCTGCTCGCGAGCTGCAAGTGTTTTGCTTTGTTTCCATTCTACTAGTGTTCTGTCAAGCGCGCACTCTAGATTACTCCATGTAAAGACGGCATGACACCATTAATTTAGACCCACTAATTATAAAGACGCACATGTTTAAATCTAACCAAACACTATATCAACGAGTCTTACATTTCTGACTGCATCTAAACGTTACATCACCTCACACGTCTGACTTGTAGCCAGAGGTGGAAGAAGTACTATTATACCTTCTTTACTTAAGTAAACGTAGCAATATTACAGTATGACAAGTAAAAGTATTGCATTCAAAATCTTACTTCAGTAAAAGTACAAAAGTATGAGCAAAATATAATACTACTACCAAAAGTTAAAGTACTCATTGTGCAGAATTTCAGAATAATATTTTTGTTGGATTATAATTAGTGATGCATTGTGTTCATTTCTTCAGTGTTTCAGCTGGTAAAGGCTAATTTTAATTACTTTATATACTGTAAATGCAGTGGAATAGAAAGTACAATATTTGCGTCTGATATAGTGCAGTAAAAGTATAAAGTAGCATAAAATGGTAGCATAAAAGGTACATGTACCTCAAAATTGTACTTACTTAAGAGGAAATGTACTAGTTACATTCCACCACTGCTTGGTGATGGTTTGTGGGGGTAGATGGGTGGATGTGCTACAGCTGAGACTATTCTTTAAACCACTACCCTTCAGTTCATTGTGCAGGTTATTTGTCTGTGAGTGCTTCCGAAGGGAATGAGCATTTGTAACATTACATTTCTAACAATAGGTTAGTCTATCATCTTGTGTAGAAGCTACTTTGCTTCTGCTTGAAGATCCTATGTAGTTTAAAATGCAGCTGCTTCAGGGTTGAATCTGAGGCAATCAGCTATTGATGATAGGATGTTTTATATATACTTTTTTTTAAACTGAGGAATCTTTCAAATGTGTTCCCTTTGGAGTTACACTGATGTGATTCAGTTTGATGCTCTCTTTTCCTACATATCCGTGTCAACCCAAGGTAAAAGTCTAGTGTTTGAAATGTAGTGTACAGATGTCATCATGCTGTCTCCAGCTGGAAGCTGCTTGTTATATGTTATTTATTCCACTAGAGGGCATGCTCCAGTCTCATACATGCCACAAAACAATGAGAGGCCCCTCTAAATGAAAACAACTTCCATCCAATGCTCTATTTACATACCACAGGAATTAATTTTGTCCCCCCACAGCTCAATCCTATGCTTGCTAAATATGATTAACTACAAGCTTAATATAAATTTATTAGACAAGTGGAAGGAACTGCTCATCAGAATAGTCACGTACTCTGATCTCACATTTGGGATGAATTAAATTGAAATAAATGTAAATAACACATAGGTGTACCGCACTGTCCGCTCAGCACGTCCTGTGGGAAAACACTGAATTATTTCCCGCAGTGAAAGACATTTCTGTGCCGTACAGTTCTATGAAAGGTGAGTAATGAAATCTTCTTTAGCAAGTCAGCTAATTAGAAAAACAGGATTGGGATGGAGGGATGATAATACAGGAAGATCAGATTGTTGTCCAAACAAAAAAAGAGAGTGGAAGATATTATTGTTGTCCTAAGTTATGAAAAATGTGTGTATATGTTCTTACATGTACAGTGCCCTCCAGAATCATTGGCACCCTTAGTGAATATGAGCAAAACAGGCTGTGAAAAAAATTCTTTGCTGTTTGCGGTCTTTCACTCAAAATATTCACAAAAAAATGTACCTTTTCATTGACGTAAAATTATTGAAAGAAAAAGAAAATGTTGACATTAAATAAATATTCTTCTCCAAAACATGTGTGCCACAATTATTGGCACCCCTAGAAAATCTCATGATTAAAATCTAACTGAAGTATAATTCCAGTCATATTTTATATTTTTAAGTTCACCTGTTTGATTAGGAACTCTTAAGTGGTCAACCATGACTTCCTGTTTCACTGGGGTATAAATATGAGGTGACACAGGCCTTAGTCGTTCATCACTATGGCAAAGACTCGAGAACACAGTGACGATATGCGACGAAAAGTTGTTGAGCTGCACAAATCAGGAAAAGGATATAAGAAAATCTCTAAACAGTTGAAAATACCCATTTCCACTATCAGGGCAATAATAAGTTTAACTACAAGTTTAAAGCGACAGGATTTTGAAGTTTAAAGTGACAGGATATGTTAAGAATCAGCCTGGAAGAGGACCTGTGTGTACATTGACCCCACGCACTGTGAGGAGGATGGTTCGACTGGCAAAAGAATCTCCAAGGATCACAGCTGGAGAACTGCAGAGGTTAGTTGAGTCTTGGGGTCAGAAAGTCTCCAAAACTACCATCAGACGCCACCTACATCACCATAAGTTGTTTGGGAGGGTTGCCAGAAAAAAGCCTCTGCTGTCAATCAACAACAAACTAAAGCACCTACAGTTTGCCAAACGTTACTGGGACTTTCAATGGGACCGGGTTATATGGTCAGATGAGACCAAAATAGAGCTTTTTGGCAACAAACATCAAAGGTGGGTTTGGCGTAGACAGAAAGATAGCCATACAGAGAAGCACCTCAGACCCACTGTGAAGTATGGTGGCGGATCTTTGATGTTGTGGGGCTGTTTTTCTTCCAAAGGCCCTGGACATCTTGTTAGGATACTGTTTTGCTCATTTTTACTAAAGGGTGCCAATAATTCTGGAGGGCACTGTATGTGTATGAATCTTCCTTTGTGGTGGCATCATTACTGCATAATGTATTTTAAATCCACTGACATTACTGACTCACATTTGTATATGGATATCTTCAGCCTGGATTCTGAAGCTGCAGATGTCAGTCAGAAAAGAACAGGTGTTTTTACTTTATCATTATTTTTACATCATGGCAGTCCGCTGCATCACAGGGATTGTTGTCTGTGAGCCGACCAAGCCCCTCTGAGGATTGTGGCTGAATATTGATATGCTGAAATAGTTTCCTTATCAATACCAGCTGTTGTTGTGATGACTGGAATGGGATATCTTTAGGCTGCAGCAATGGGGGGGGGGGGTGTATATCTGACCTGCAGTGAATTCAGTTATTGGTACTCAACATGACATTTAACACACCATCAGCGACAGACATTTGCAAGAGTCACGTCGTCCTCCACAGTTGAATCATGTAGTTAACTAGCACACAGTTTACACAACATGGAGAAAAAAAACAGGTTTGACTCAAGGAGTTAAAGAAGACAGAGATTTGATTGAAAGCAGACATCTGCTCAGTATTCCAGAGCAGCTGTGTCCTACAGTTGAAAGCAGAGGGAAAAAAATGTCCAGTTTAGCAATTCAAATGTGTGTTTTGTGTGATGAAAGCAGTGTGTTATACCCTCCATGCCTGTATTGTCAGCCTGACCGTGTGGGTTAATGGATGAGCTGTTTGCAGCTAATGGCACGGCTGTGGTGCATAATATGATATGAGGACTATTGTTATCATAATCACACACACAAACACACACACAATTCTCAGAACACTTCTCTTATTCACACTCAGGCCTTTCCTTCCTCTACCTCACATAGGAAACACATGCAAAAAAAATGTATGCTAGCAGTTGCGTAATCACACCATCACACAGTACAACAAACACACACACTGCTTCGATACGTTACAACACAGGTGTTTTGTTTTCTATAAATCCATCTCTTTTATATTCTGACAGTTATATAGAAATACCAATTATCGTTCCAGGTCACATCAAGGAGATCACTCATTCCATTCTTTTTGTCTCCATCCCACTCAGTATACTGCACATAAAATGAAACTGAGAGCAGAAAGCAGACTGAATGCTAATTGTTGGAGACTGGTTTCACAATGTTATTGAGACCCTCAAGAGTAAGGGGTTTGTGCACACTCTTTTTCGATATTTATATATATTTATATTGATTTATTTTTATAGCAAATGGCAGTTTTTCTGTAGAAAGTATGATCAGTGTCAGCATCTGTTTCTTTGTAGTCATTTTGTCTCTCTTTGTAGTCTGTTGGTATCTCGTTGTGGTTGTTTTGGTCTTGTTGTATTCTTTTTGTGTCTCTTTATCGTCATTGTTTTTTGTGGTTATTTTGAGTTTTTTTGAGTGAAATTTTGTAGTGGTGAAGGCCAGGGGGCCCCTTACACTTTGGGCCAATGGGCCTGTGCCATTAGGCCCACTCACCAATCCATTCATGGTCATCAGCATAGTAATGTCATGTCAGCAACAAGCAAAACAGCAGTGGAAAAAGAATTGAAGTGAATTTCACTACTATACATCCAATAGTTGTTATATTACTATATACAGTATATGCTTTCGTTTCCATGTCTGTTTTTTATCATGTCTTTTTATCATTTTAGTTCTTGTCATTTTGTACCAATAAAAATAAATAAATAAACAAACAAATAAATAAATAAATACAGCCAAATATTTGCTGGTTCACATTTTTGCAGGGAAAACTTATTTTAATCCTGTACAGTTGTGTAAATTGGGATGAAAATAAAGACAATGTTACGTGCTCATGGCTCAATGAGGCTGTAAAGGGTGTAGGGGGCACTCTGTGTCTGACAGTGTTGGGGGTCACGGGGTTAAAGTGCTATCATGTTACACACTGATTCTGCCTAAAACAAAGCCTGAATGGAGACTCAACTGGTCTCCTCCATTCACAAGGCCTCCTCACATCCTATCACACGGGCGTCAATGATGCAAATCAGCCTATTGTTGCACACTGTGCTCCCTACTACTCATAAACCATTGACCCTTCCATTAATGTCAATGACATCCCCACAACAAATCAGTCTTTTCTTCTATCCATCCATCCATTTTCCTCCGCTTATCCGGGGTCGGGTCGCGGTGGCAACAGGCCAAGCAGGCTGACCCAGACCTCCCTCTCACCGGCAACATGTTCCAGCTCATTCTGGGGGATCCCGAGTCGTTCCCATGCCAGCTGGGAGATGTAGTCCCTCCACCGTGTTCTGGGTCTTCCCCGGGGTCTCTTCCCAGTTGGACGTGCCTGGAAAACCTCCAGCTGACTCCTTTCGACGCGAAGGAGTAGCGGCTCGACTCCAAGCTCCCTCCTGATGACCGAGCTCCTTACCCTATCTCTGAGGCTGAGCCCGGCCACCCTACGGAGGAAGCTCATTTCGGCCGCTTGTAGCCGCGACCTTGTCCTTTCGGTCATGACCCAGAGTTCGTGACCATAGGTGAGGTAGGAACGTAGAACAAGTGGTAAATTGAGAGCTTTGCCTTCCGGCTCAGCTCCCTCTTCACCAAGACGGTCCGGTGCAGCGCCTGCTTTACTGCTGCAGCTGCACCGATCCGTCTGTCGATCTCCCGCTCCATCTTACCCTCACTCGTGAACAAGACCCCGAGATACTTGAACTCCTTCGCTTGAGGTAGGCACTCCGTCCCCACCTGGAGGGAGCAATCCACCGGTTTCCGGCAGAGCACACTGTGCTCCCTACTACTCCAAAAACCATTGACCCTTCCATTAATGTCAATGACATCCCCACAACAAATCAGTCTTTTCTTCTACAGCATTTCGAATGGAGATGAGATGTGAATTTACATTGATGATGAGCTAATGAGTAACGGCTTATGGCTGTAGGCTCAAGCTCATACATCCAAACTGCCACTGCTACAAAGGACAGTTATAACACTTACAGAGATGTCAAACGATGGTTTTGTATGAAGCTCATTCTAGGGACAAACCCGCAGAGAATTATCACCCAACTCTGGAGCTTCCCTCAGCGACTGGCTGGTGAAGCATTTAGCAGCCAGATAATTCCCTCAGTAGTTGGTATGTAGACCAAAACCTATAGGAGAGATGATATAATGAACACTAAATAATTAATGTTAATCCAGCTATTGTTAACATAACACATCTATCTATCTCAATATGTATCTCCTCAGGATGTCAAACGTCAATCCGAATCCGGCCCACTCGATGATTTTGCAAAGTATGGGAAATTAAATGCACTGCTATTCATATTTGTAATCTGGGGGGGGTTGCTGTCCTAATAAGAGTAGCAGGTAGATCCCCCCTGCTTACAGTACATACAGGCTACATGACACAACACTGGCTACTGTTCAAGCGGGAGCTGCTGGTGGAAAATGTCTTTGTCAAAAAGAAGAAAAGAGGACAGAGCTTTAGGGCTGTATGAACTACATTACACTACAAGACCACATCTGGCCGAGACGCATAACTTTAATCTTAACTTCAACTTTCAACAGCTTCCACTTTAACTCACTTCCATAACAGGAACTCTGCAGAGTGTTCTGGTGAATTTTTGGGAAATGAGTAATATCCATTTGTTGATGCATGGGATCAGCTTGGAAAGTCCAAATATCCTCTAATGCATGTGGACACCCACACAATTGACTGTCATCAAAGCGCACAGCAGAAAGGCCGCTATGACAGAAAACAAACAACTAAGAGAAAGGAGCAGCCTCATTGTTCTTTCCCTCATTCTTTGTGAGACCCTTTCCGTAACAAAATAGACCCCCCCCCCACCCCCCCTCTGATTTAGATGCAGGACTTGCGATGGGGAAATCAGCATTACCGTTACTGAACATGTCTGCTGTACAACTTCCCATGAGTGCACAGCTGAGGGAAACAACAGTGAGTCAGGAGCAAATGCAAACGTACTTGCTCCTGAAAAACAGTCAGCTGGCGGGAGACCAGATGGATGCACACCCACCCCCTACTCCTTTTAGAGGGAGCCTCGTCTCCACGGTGACTGAAGACAAAAAAAGGGGCCCTGGCACAGCTGGTCTTTGGCAAACTGAGAGAGAGAGAGAGAGAGAGAGAGAGGAGGAGAAAAAAACAGTGAATGAGTGTTCAGATGTAAAGACTGGACAGAGGGTGAGGGGGAGTGGGGGACAGCGTAAGCAGCAGTGAACGGCTGTGTTTTGGAAGTTGTTTGGAGGGAGGCTGGGAGGAGAGAGAGGGAGGGCGAAAAGAGGAAGAGGAGAGGGAGGAGGTACACAAACTCCCTGAGAACAGGAGTCAGTGAGTGGGAGAAAGCGAACAGGCACCGCAGGAGGAGCAGTTGCAGTCCTACATACACGGCTGCTGATCTGCTGAGAGAGTCAGATTACCTCCAAACACCCAGTGCTGGTCTGAACTGGATCAGAGCTAATTAGATGAGGAGGAGGCTGAGACCAGCAGGCAAAGAAACTTCAGAAAAGAATAACAACGAATGAGAAGAGGGGGAGGGTGAAAACAAGAAGAAGAAGTAGTGGTCTGTGAAACATCGTGGGGACGGTTTTGTGTATAGAGCTGAGTTGGGTTCTCCATGCACAGAAGAGTTGACATGTGGAAACAGTGACGCTCTTAAAGTGAAGCACATTCACTTCAGAGGTAAGAGGCTGTTTATACTTCCATGTTGCTTGTCAATAAAGAGTCAGAGGTTGTTTTTTTTTGCATACAAAGGCAGTTGTAATTTTCAGCAAGTAAAATAAAACATCTAAGTAGGTGAATTAAAACCTAAAGAAGCTTGTTTCAGTGGCACACCCTATTTACACCATGTTAAAGTTCAAGATTCAACACAAAGAAGTGATTGTCTTCTTCATTACAGTAAGAGTTCTGCAGCATGTTTTGGTCTCTATGTTCTCTGCTGATTGTGAAACTTGGTGTGGGAGTGCAGTAAAAAAGGAAAAAGACCAGAGGAGATGATGGCAGAGCAGAGAGGGTCAGCAGCACAGGTCAGACATTCTTCAGGCTAACTCTGAACAGGGGTTCAGATTTTCACAATCAGCATGAGAGGCTTCCAGAAAACCAAACAAGAATGTACACACCCGTGAACAAATACACAGCTATGTGTATGCATATATAGTTATTTTAATGCACTTTTGAGGAAACATTGGGATGTGATTTCTGGAAATCAAATTGAGCTCCAACAACGGTTTATCCAGTGGGTACAGTATTTCTGCACTACGTAGGTCATGTCAGGAAATTTAGTTCTTCCTGTAAGAGCTGCAGACTCTTTCATCGACAAAAATGGTGACAGTGTGCCAACCAGAAAAAGCAACAACCAGAAAAAACCCTCTGAAATCAATGAAAGGAAGCAGTCTGGTATCTGGTAACAGACATAGCCGACACTTCCTAAACAAATTGATAACGTCTAGATTCATTTAAATTAATTAAAATAATAAGTATTTCCGTTTAATAACAGTGTATTTAACAAAAATAAATTAAGAGTACATAAATACAACATGACGATTATGTTGTTTGCATGTGCTGTATGTGTCTACATCTAGTCTGTTGATTTATGTCAGGCTACTGTTACTCTCCTGCTCATATAGTGAGAAAGTAGTACTGCAGTAGCCTATAGTGTAGTGTAGTATAGTACAGAATTACTACAGGCTACATTAGCTAAACTAGCTAAGCCTTGTGAAAGTACTCCATCCTATTGATATGTTGCCTAGCAACGCCAGGAATTCCGAGGTACAGTAACTAACGTTATATTTCCTGATATTTAGAAAATAAACTGTTAATTAGGCAAACGACTGATACTTTTTTAATTTAATTACATATGTGTCCAGCGGTATAATAGCCGTTTTGCTTCGGGCGAACAAGACGTAGCGTTAATGTTAACTTTATTTTAACTTTAACGTCATATCAAGCTCGAGGTTAGCCTCAGCTAACACTCATTTGACAGACCCCCTTCTTGGTAAGTTAGTTTGCTCTTCCACAACATAACGTTGGTTAAATGAGGCAGTAACGTTAGCTAGCATAAATACAATCACGATAACAAACTCCTGCTAGCTTAGCGTTAGTTAATAGTAACTTACATTGATTCTGGTGGAGTTCACTCAACTGGGTTTGTTTAAGGTGCCTTTCAATCACATATTAAATATACTTAATTGGTCATTTTGGTATTATAGTGATTTTGATACATTAATAGAGGATGGATATGCTCTTACTAAAACAGTATATAGTTTATATTCACAAACAAACTGTTGGTTACCGCTGCCATTCTCTAAAGATGTATCAGAAGTCAGGGTGGACTATCTGTGTTTTTTAGGTACTGCAGGTTCTATGGAAATGTTGTAAAACAATCAGCCTAAAAAGGCCTAAAATGAGGCATTATATGCTCTTTGTGTGTTATGCAGTTTTCCAGCCAGTCTGGAAACTTGAAACACTTTTACCATCTTCACTTCTTCTGTAGGCCAGTAGAGTATAACGTAGTACAGTGTGCATTGTAGAGTGCACCGTGTTGGTATGACCATTACTACTTTATTTGAAGTTAAAGGTAATATGTAAAAACGATATAAAAAAATAAATATAAAAGACATAGTCACAATGCATGAAACACTTGACTTATTTGACAAACCAGTCCCTGTGTCCATTCAGCTCAAAGTTGACCATCTGATGACTGGATGTCTTCAAGGTCCTGTTGCCATTTTCACAGCCCTGTGATATATCTCGTATCTGGTGCGCTGCAGCCTGTCTAGCATCCGCCTTTGGGATCTCACCCACACACAGCTGCTCCACTGATGATGACAGGACTGAGTCTTGAAATGCCAGGCCTGAAATAGCCTTTCCTGCATATAATTACACTGAACATGCAGGACGGTGACTCCCGTGTGTGGATACAAATGTAACCAAGCTGAAGCAGGGAATCACACACACTGTAGGCACATGGTGTAGCCACACACACACACACACACCTCTGTCCCACCTACCTAAGGTAATCAGTAGGCTAATTAGGGGTGCTGATATATAATGAGGGGGTACTCACAAAAGCACATAGAGTATTTGGGGATGAAGGACTATGTGCTTACCAGGCTTGAGGGGTAATTGCTGGGTGGAAGGATAAAATTGCAGGAGCGAAGGGTGGAGCTGTGGATGAAAATAACATCTTCATTTCTACATTCGGACCATCTTTTCTCAAGCAAGTGGGCTCTCTGTGTCTTTCAGGTGCGGCTGTGCGAGTTCTGTGAAGACCTGAGGCTTTTTGTCATATCTGCGCGTGGGACCTGCATCTGGGAGTCAGCATGGCGGAGGTGAAAGAGGAGGTGCTGGATATTCTTCAGAAGGTGTGGATCAAACTGCAGGGGCTCCCACAGGCCAGTTATCTGGAGCTGGGGGCCTTCCTTGTGATCATCCTGTTTGTTGGTGAGATTTTGTCTAATTAGCTAATGTATATGACAAAGATGCGTTCACTAATGTTCAATGAAAGAAGCTAAAAGAGGGTCATTTGATATTTCTCTGTGGGTTCGTCACTACAGGTGACCCCCCCTTTTCACATTACATTACTCCTGTCTCCCCTCTCAGCCACGTTCCTGTTCTTGATCGTGTTGTCCTGCGCCCAATGCTTCTGCTGTGGAAAGCCAAAACACCCTGCCACCAGAGTACAGCCTGTCTGAGGATGAGACAGAGAGCGGACTCCCCAAGTAAATTCAACCTCCATCCTTTCCCCATCCTTCGTGTAACCATCCCACGCACACAGTTACAAAACGGGGAATGCTCTTTTACAGAGTCGTTGAATTTCTTGGAGGAGGAGGACGGGGGGGACATGATGTTCCAGCAACCCGGGATAAAGACTTGGATCCTCATCCAGAGAGCCATGCCACTATAAATCAGCAGATTCATCTCAGACCAGGACAATGAAATACTGTGTGGCGGCCTTTTCCCAACAATAAAAAAACTTTACAGTGGACCAGTGGATTGAGAGGATACAGGGAGAGAGCTGAGTTGGGTCTCCGTTATTACAAATGGACCAGTTTGCTGTCCTGTTTATATTCAAGGGAATTGAAAAACATGCAGACATTCCAACTTGTGTAGTATACAAACTTGCCAGTGAAAAAAAGACAGAGCGCCCTCTGGTGGCCAAGTGAAGGGCTTCTATTTTCTTCCTCAACATGCCAATTGAAAATATGACCCGTTCATTGTTTGACATGCAACCGTTACAGATGTCTTCTTGTTATATTACATAGTTGTTGTGTTTTTTTTGTGTGTTTTTATTAACGGAGGCATTGCAATATTGCATTTGTGGATGCAACTGAAATGTAAAAAATGTTCAATATATATTAAAAAAACAAATATAATACGGACTAGTTTCTTATTACACGATCAAATGTAAAGATTGAACTATCTAAGCATGGTTTGATCCCCCATCTAAACCCTGTATGACTTTATTCCAATAACTGCTTCTCCTTTGCTTCAAGATAAGCGTTGCTCTAAATCCCACCAGTAAAACACTGCACTTCTGTGTGCATATCTTATTACCAGTCAATATTTTCAGTAAACATTAACCAGAAGCTGCTGCTTTTACTTTGCCCTGCCCACACAAAGGCACTGAAGGTGTCAGCAGAGTCGGAGCCATTGGAGTTTCACAGAATGCCTCCGCGGTGCACAAACTGGTAGTAAACTGTAATGTTTGGGACAGTTCCAGGGCTGCCAGTGGATCGGAGCCGTAGCTGAAACCACCTGTTCTCACACACAGTATATTCAGCCACTGTTAGGAGTCACCGAGCCGTGAGAGGACCACTTAGCGGGACATGGCCGTGGAGAGGTGAGTTCCTGAACAGGAACGTGTTGGGTGACAATGGTGTTTACCTTCAGCAGATTTCTGTGGAGCATGCCGATCAAAACATGTCAGCTTTTGAAAGGCTTTAGAGCTCAGACATTTTAATCAGCAGCATGTAATGTGGGTTATATAAAAGCATTGTTAGTGGCAGCTGATGGTATCCAACAACATTACCTCATCAGTCTAAAGTCCAGATTCTCCATTTGAGCTTGTATTTTGGTTTTCCCGGCGCAGTGTTTCGGAGCAGCAGACACCCACAGGGTGGCCTGAGGACTGGGTGGAATGGTTCCTGCACCGGCTGCGTCAGGAGCCCTGGGCCCTGGGCGGTGCTGTGGTCATAGGAGTGTTTGTGCTGGGAACTCTGTCTCTGGTCGTCTTCGCTCTGCTGTACGGATGCTGCTGCGGCCATCAGGGAGAGAACCAGAAGAAGAAGAAGAAGAAGAAGGATGGGGTGATCTAGACGCTTGTGAAGAGAGCTGACTCATACTGTTAAATGATCGTCGACCTGAATTTGTCAAAATGTACCTGTCCACGTTTGTCATTTCTTTGAGATGTGGCGGAAGTGGGACCCATTTCTCTGCTGTTTTTCCATTTCTGTATTTGTGCCGGGTGACACCATAAAGAGAGTGGGATGAAATCTTCCGTCATTTAATTTCACATGAACTTAAATGTGTTGTCAGTTAGCTTCATGAACTCTTCAGCCAACAGGCTTCAGTATTATGTAGCAGCTCCAAACCATGGTAGGAAGTGATGTATCAAAATGGTCCAGATTTGAGTAAATTACATGAAACATTACTTTCCTATAGGCCCACAGTAACAGAACTTTTTGTTAAATGTATTTTTCAAATAGAATTCACTGTTTTACTTGTAGCACTTGATATTAATTTACTCATAACCATTGTACAAAATAAGTGATTGTTTCATTTCATTTTTTTTAGATTTGCCTATATAATAAATACATGAACATAGGTCAACCTTCAGAAACGTTAGAAAAAAACTCTTTTAAAATATAAAAAATAGGGACAGCAAACTGCAAAGTGTGCACCCCTCAAAAACATTTAAAAAAATATTTGTTACTTTAGTGATATTTAAAAAAGAACCAGAGAAAGCTGCATGTGAGTTGGTGCATTCCCGGGAAAAGTTCAACAACCTGTCAACATCACGAACAAATACGGAAATTAGATCAACTGACAAAGAACCAGGCGATCCTGAAAGAAAAACAAAAAGGAAATTTGTGAAGTCTTGGGAGGAGTAGTGTTCCGACATCTTTGAGCTGGATGGAAAATTAAAAAGCATGAACAATCCATACACATGACATATGTGTCACATTTTCATTATTAAGCTGACGTACAACTGCATAGTATCTTAATTACTCAAAATATAAGTAGACTGAAAATAGCAACTATATTTTAGTTTGGGCAACCAAAAGCGGATGCCTGGTTGCCAGCCTGCCAACTACTTTTAATCGGTAATGTTGACACCTGCAGAAAATAATGCTAATTTTAATATTAATAATAATAATAATATGAAAGTTGTGAGCGTATGTTTTCCTATTAAGCTGATTCAGAGGAGCTTTGGAGCTTCTGAAAAGTAGAAGTAGTTTATTCTCTTGTGTACTCTTTCAAGGGGTGGGGGTCAAAGCATTTTCCTATTTGGTTTGTTTGTGTTGGCTAATTGTAGTGTTTTGGCTTTATACGAGCAATTTATGGTCTAAAATTGAATACTTAAATGTTGCTCATTTATCAACAATATTCACAGTATTCCCCTTGTTACAGCCACAAACTGTAGGTTTTTAGCGTCGCCAAATAAACATGAGGACTACATCTCCCGGTGCTACGCCGTCTCTTACGCGGTACAATGTGACTGACGTAATTACTCTGCGACCGGGGCTTTATGCGACGCATAAGGCGACACGGCAATGGCGAGCGGTAAAAAGAGCGCTCTGCTTTCCTCTTTAGCAGACTATGGAGACGATTCAGAACCTGACTCTGACCCCGAATCAGAAGAGACAGGTACGTTATAACACATGTAATAGTTCCGTTGGTCCTATGTGGCTGTAAAACGCTGTCTATGTTGCTGTGGGAGTCTTATGTGGTCATGTGCTAGCTAACGTTAGCTTGTAGCTAACAATGAACTTAGCTAGTTTACAGACAAAGTGTCGAATATATTCAAGATATGTTTGCGAAATAAAACCCGTTAACCTACGAAGTTAAATAATACAAAGTTATTTCAACAGGTGTTGTTGGTTTTGTTTTGGTCTTGTTGATGTTATTACCTGGCACATAATATAGAAAAAACGTGAAGCGCTCAAGAACAACAGAGGTCTTTTGTTTTCCTGTAAAGCTACTGGTTTCACTTCTTAGCTCTAAGGGTAACAGAAGAGTGTAATGTTATGATGTGTTTGTACTAGATTTATTGTATTTGGCAATGAAGTATAGCTTCGTTGTGTCTTCCTGTAGCCCTGATGCACAGCTAGCTAATGCCTCTTGCAGTGATCTGACATGTTTTCTGTGTGGTGACACTTTTGCCTCTCTGTCTCTTGCTCTCCATCACCAGAGGCTCGTGGGAGTGGCCTGGTGTACAGCTATGGGGACGATGACCTGAACCGAACGGAGGGTGCGGAAGTGAAGGTGTCTGCAGATGAAGACAGCAGAGAGAGCCACTCGGTCAGTACCGGAGCTCAAAACATGTTTGTGAGTTGACCATTCAGTTGGATTCCACTGGTGTTTGGGTGAACGTATTAACTGGGTGTGGTGGTAGAGAATCTGATGCTTTTTGACAGTTCATTGTGAGGGGATCTAATGTTGCACACTTGAGTCTTCACTGAACTTTGGGAGGAATGAAAAACTTGAGAGGATCTCACCAATGCTCTTTGGTTTTGTTATTAGCACATCATATTCAAGATCAGACGTGTTGCACAGAATGTGTAATCATCAACTTGCAACATGTCTGTAATCGTGTAGAGTGAAGGAGATCTTGTCACATCACCCCCCTTGACGTTAAACGTTAGTGTTAGTACTGCAAAGTATTTTGAAAATTAATCAGTTTGGATTTATTTGCCCACAGTAGTCTTTATCGTAAATATCTGTTATTACAGAAAACCAGGGCTGTACTGTGTTTACAATCAAGGTTATTTTATTCAACATTGAGATTTAGATGTATGATTACATTTATTAATCCATGAGAGTTAGCTCTCTAACACAAACATCACAACAGAATTCAATTAAACTTGGAAACTAATATTTTTTAAATGTTCCTACATTGAAGTGCAACCACAATTTCCAATATTTAAGATACAGTATAATCGATGATCCAAATGTAAAGAAAAGGGTCACCTAACTAGAGATCTAGTTATTGTTTTTGATATTAATTAAATGAATACAAAAAAACTAAATCAAGTAATCATTTAAGTCCAGTTAAAACACCAAACATTCATTGTTTACAGCTTCTTAAATCTGCTTCTCTGTGTTTATATTAACTGTAATATGTATATTGTTGGGCAGACAAAACAAAACATATTTTTAATGACATCATCTTGGAAACACAGACAGTGACTATTATGACAGAGGACCTACATTTCATATCATATTTACTTGTAGATTGTAAATCTCATATCCTACTCGTGTGTGTGTTCATACTTTTAAATAGATATAGGTTAACTATAACATGGTTTATATGGGCTAAGTACCATATGCCCTCTCTGCATCCCTGCTGAACTGATGGCTTGTACACAGAGTGGACAGAAAACTTCAAACATCTCTGTGACGTAATGCCCTGCAGTACACAGGTCTTGCAGTAAATACTGCCTTTATTTTTTAGTTGTTTGTGTGTTAACTCGGTTTATTTATATGCGAGTCTGTCATGCGTCATTTGTTTTATTTGACTACATTATACAGATGGATGTTTTGTTATTTAGTCCTTGTCATTTACATAAATGGAATAGGCAAACATATTAGAAACACAGTCAAATATAATGAATGAATCCAATACAACAACAACATGACTACCTCAAAAAATAAACATGCAGTTGAACCAATGCAACTCTGACACAGTTATACAACACTGGGTGTACAAAGCACCGATCTTGTTACAGTGTCACTCTAATGCTGTTCAGAAGCTTTAATTAAAGGCGGTTTGGTATTGCACTTTCATGAAATGACTCGCATGAGACAGATCAAAGCAGCAGAGGCTGAGGTATCCTGACCGTTAGTCCCAAGTATGGGTCAAACTCCAAAAACACAGGCTCCTACTGAAATGCAACTCATCACCAGCATCTGTTATTAGGCCGTCGAGTATCCCAAACACCCGCTACTGTCAAACCCTTTGCATCAGCAGTTGTTTACACAGGTCTGCTGTGAGGTCTCACGTCAAAGCCAAGGTGACCGTCAAGACATCTTCAGTGTCAATGTCCAGGCTCCAGAAAGCTTCCTCCAGACCCCCAAGATATTATACAACTGACTATCATAATGTAAAATTGGTGGAATGCCCCTTTTAAGTTATTTTTCAGCAATCCAAATAAACATTTATGGCCCCCCCCCCCCCCGGTCTGCTCTCATCTCCTTTTGATCCTTACGGTGTTAAGCTTCTGCATTTTTGTTTTTCTAGGAAATGGACGACTCCGACGAGGGGAGGGACGCAGAGGATGTTGAGGTATTTGAACACCCGCCTGGTGTGGGATTTGTGAAAGGATCCCATTTGTTTCGTGACTAACCAAGAAGGGATGGCACATTTAAAGCTGTGCTATGAGGGAGCATGCTCACCAGGTGGTGCTGTGGGCTTATGTATGTCAGATGAATGCTCCAATATCAAACGTAGGTAACACCAGGTCATGTTCTCAATATGAGTCCGAAACCTCCTCTGAAGTGAAGGGCTCATGTACTTGAACCTGCACACCATACTAACCCCACCCTCTCTCTCTCTGTGTGTGTGTGTGTGTGTGTGTGTGTGTGTGTGTGTGTGTGTGTGT